AAACAAGCCGTCCAATCACAAACCACAAAAACACCACCACCGCAGCACCTCAGCAAACCGACCAGCCAATCAGGACTGAAGGAACACACTGATGCACACACACAACAACACAACACTCTTGTTGTTTCAGTCAGTCAGTTCATTTTTCAGTCTTTGTTTCTTCATCTGGATGCCTTAATTTGTTCCTATCTCACTATTTAGCAACCTTGAGAGAGAGAGTGAGAGAGAGAATCACAAGAGTTGATATAAATATATATTCAGAAATGTATTCAAACTGCTAAGAATTGTATTTTCTTTCAAATCTTCATGCCAGGTATTAACAACAGACTGATTTTCTTTGAGGGAAGAAAAGCCTCTAAAGCCATCATTTCACACTAGAAATCCCCAGTAAAAATCTCCATTGAATATTAACATAACGTTAAAAATAATATTCAATCAGACTTTTGTGGGATCTGGTGAGAGTGTCTCAGGATCAGCCCTGTTTTAGCAGTATTCACTGTTTGAAATATGTCATTTATGGAACTGCTTCACTACAGACCACCACCCCTCTGTCACTGGTCTCTCTTCTCTTTCACTCATTTTGGTCGAGAGTCATGTGACCTGAGCCCCGTTCCTTCTTCTCTAAAGGGGATTGTGGGATTTTGTGGCACGTTTTTGAAACACCACAACGACCACCACGTCCCTCTTTTTTTTTCTATTGTAATATTTCCTGTTTGGTGTAAATACTGTCTCCTACCCTGTTGCCCACGGTTCCGTCACAGCAGACTTAGTGTGGTCACTTTTCTATATCTGTACATACATATATGTATAAAAACACAAAATACTTTCTTTTTTTGTATAAAAAAGAAAACATAATATACTATATAAATATATATATATATGTAAACAGTGTTTTATCCAATCAGATTGGATTTATGAATATATTCTATTTGGAGATTTGATGTTTTAAAGGTTTGGCAATTTGACAGAAGTAAGCACACGGTCTGATGTCATCAGACCATTGTTTGATTGTTTACAGATGTTGAGGATGGCTGGATATTGTTGTCGTAGTGGTTGTTGTTGTTGGAGGTGAACAGCGAGCTCCTGTTCCTCTGGCAGGACCAGGCAGGCACCGCTGGCCTCCACAGGCAAACAACAGCAACTACAGAAAAGGAGAGACTTGGGTCAAAGGTCATGACTTGATAAATAGGTTGGTCCAGTGATGATGTATATTTGTAGTCCAACAGGGAGTAAGCTAGCCCCTCCATGGCTTATGATATTCTCAGAACTGAGCGGTTCCAAAAATGTCTTACAGCAACAACGTTGAAAATTCGAACTCCCCACAAGGTTGGTAGTCTTCTTAGCGACTCATAAGATGACCAAGAAAGGTCGCTTCCATTAAACTGAATACAAACCCATATAAAATCAAAGATGACGCAGCAAGTGGCAGCGTGTTCAGGGTACCACCAGTCAGAGTTGATGGAGGTCTAAGAGATGTGGGGGAATGGTACAAAACAAAAGTTCTTTCTCATTAGCGTAGATGATGATGACTTGGCTATTTTCAATTCAACCCACTACCAAAAATATTTAGGTACGAGCTACCAAGATGACATTATATTCTCCGTGGAAAAGAGCATGCAAGCTGCTACTGCGGGGGGGGGCAAACAAATTACCTCAGTCTACCTCAGAGCTATTTCGTCACAGTTGAGAAGGGGCCACAGAATTCAGCTTAACTGATGTGTCAACTGCGAGGAGACACATACAAGCTAGTTTTGTGCGGTGAAACCATTGTTTTTTTTGCGTGCAATGTGTATGTATTTGAATTTAAGTTTACTAGAGAAGACCTTTCTTGGTCAGAGTCTTTGTGGGTTCCTTAGTTTGCACCCATCATTGAAGAGGCCTACCATGTGGTAATATTTTCAATGTTCTTGCTGTAACAAATGCTATGACCCACTCAGCGACCGCCATACATAGCATGCTGTTCCTGAATCAGGGCTGATGAACCACTCTGCCACTGAAATGGCAGCTCAGGACTGCGTAGTTGTGTTTTTATATGAAATAATCTGCATATGAGTCAGCACTACTCACACCAGGTCAAAATGATCACAAGCTAACAATTGGCTAGCCTTTGAAAAAATGAACTTGAGGTCTTATTGCTCTGGTGCCATTTAGCTTATTTGGCTAACTTATGCGCTAACGTTACTTAATCAAAATAAAAACAACAATAAAAAACTACACTTGATTTGGCAAATCTATTAAAAAGTATCCTTAAATTAAAACTTTTAGCTTTTACTGTTCGAAAGAAGACTGTTCTGACAAATTTAATTGCAACTTTGAAGACGTTAAAAAAACTTGCTTTATCACAACTCATAAAAGTGTCAAAATGGCTAGCGTGGCTCAAACTTGCTAACTACAGTAAGGTTGTGCGTTCACTAGACTTTCTGAGCGCCAGTTTATCGCAGTTTTTCCCGCTTCAAGTCACCTCCAACCTACAGCCTGTTTTAGTGCATTTCTTGTTTGGCTACCTTAAAGCCCAGCGCAACCTTTTCAGAGATGTAATGTGTTTTCCAGTATCACAAATCACATTAGGGTCTGGAGCTGGAAGCTACCGCCGCTTCTCTGCTCACTGAAGACGCCCAGTGGACGCAAAGTTTCAGAACTGGACCACTCTAGTACCCACACCTCTAGAAACTCACCTCAGACTATCGAGTCCCTCAGTAAGCGGACTCTGCCGGAAACACGGTCTTTAACCTCACTCAAGTCCATTTCCCAGGACCCTCTGTGGTGCAGCGAGTGTTGTAGCTGACGCTGCTACCTCTGGGTCCCATCTGTTCAAAGCAATATAACACTGACTGGGACAGAGAGAGAAAGAACTAGTGTCCAGCTTTAGCGTTGCGGCAGCTTACATCATTCGTACAGCTCCCTTTAGCTTTTACACATGTGGTTGAGTGCTTTTTGTGCTTATTATCTGTCAGGTGGAACGGGCAGAGTATCGACTGATCAACAGATTGATTGATTTATTGAGCTGTGTTTCCAGGAGGTTGAGTGTAGTCTTTTTGTACTAATGTAAACACTAAGGCCATTTTGACCATTATACCTGTAGTCAGTAATAGCAGCACCTCTTGTTGGGGGGGTGGATAAAGCGGAGGAGTGGACGGAGCGGTAACTCAAGAGGACCTTGTTGCCACAGAACATGGTAGCGATGGACGGCGTTGACGTCTGAGCTCGACTGGAGTTCATGCGGGCACAAAGGAAAAAAACAAACGAGCAATCGACAACTGAGAAGCCTGTCAGTTAGGAAAATAATACCTAATAAAAATGCCTTAATATTTTCTCAACTGTTATGGAAATTTAGAACCAACAAGTAATGAAATCAGATTGTCTGTTGAAGAATTTAGTATTTCCCCTTTCACTGGGGCAGCATCTAGTGGCAATTAGAGGAACTGCAACTTCAAATATATGGTTTTCAACTTGAAGGGCAACTTGACGTTTCTTAGTTTGGGCCTTTCTTCCCTTTTTATTATATCATCTCCTCTTCTGTGGTTTAATAGGACCCGACTGGAGAATCAGTGCAAACCAACTCCTAAAATTCGTATAACAGTAGTGGATGGTAATTAGTATTTTCTTCTACATCTACATGGAAATTTGACTGTTGACAGCAGGCGTGGGTTAGGAACAGCTAAAAATACTTTGGACACCGGGGCGTGTGTTCCCTTTACATGTCGGCCTTTTGTTGCACTGATGTAGTGCTTTTGCTATCGTGATCAACAGAAGTGACAGCCACAGTTACAAAAATAAAACGTAAATTGTAACATCGTAACAAACTGAATAATCCTTTAAGTCGGGCTGGTTGCTGCTTGGTACACATGAGCACAGATTGCGGAGGTCACCATGGCCGTCTGGTCCTGAGTCTTAGTAAAAATAAACACCCAGAGAACCATCTGCACCACCGGAGTTTCCCTCCTGTACATTTAAAACTTTAACAATACAACATGAACAGTGCTGACAGAGTCTGATGGTGTCATCAGGGTGACGAAACCTCCCCAGTCTGGAGGCCACACAGCTTTACTGTTGCTACCACCCAGCCACACACACACTAAGGTGAAACGCACACTTTCACATATACACACACAGACTATTTTGCTACATGAGTTAATACTGTATATTTCTTGATATGTTTGATACTGTGGTGTAAATGTAGTGTCCTGCTATGATGCGGTGTGGGGGGGGTTTGGACATTTGGGCAGGAGGAGGTTCAGCATCAGTGTGTCACCCCTCTCTCTCTATTACCTCCTCCTGTTTTTGAGGGGAGGCGGCCTCTCCCTTACCTTTCTCTCGTCCGGCCGGTGACTGAAGAATTGTAAAAAAAGCTGTTTTGTTGGAACTGATCACAAGCACATTCCTGACTATTCTCTGTCCGTGCTGTCGTTTTATCCAATTCTTTCTTGTTGCGACAATACAACATGTGTCTAGTTCTTGCCGACTCACATGTATATAAAGTGCATATATGTGTACACATGTGCAATACACGCTATTCGAGCAATCTATTACTGTGACTATTATTGATGATATTTGTCCCTGTTTCAAAGTTTCAGCCCGTTTTTTTCTTCTTGTCCTGATTTCCTGTTGATGAATTGTGTTGCAGGAGTTTAAAAAGGGAAGGCGACTCGTGATTCTTCACACAGTTTAATTTCAGGGGTTTGTGGACATTTTAATTAAAGCCCTTTTTTATTACTCTCAATGTAATGTTGTGACGTTGATCCTGATGATCTGTTTCTTTGTTTGTTTTTTAAGTGGGCCTGTTGTTAAAATTGTCTGGAAACTCAATAAAGCAATTCACTGACTGCCTGTTGCATTTCCCGGTATTCGTACAAGCATAACATCTGCCCACCAGCACCCTTTAAAGCGCCTTTGGACAGAGCCAGGCGAGCCATTTCCCCTGTTTCAAGTCTCTATGCTAAGCTAACCGGGTGCTGGCCGTATCTTCATATTTACAGTACACACGTGAGAGAGTGACTACATTTCTCAAAATGTCCTTTTATTCCTTTAAAGCTTCCAAAGTCTTCAAAGTTGTGCACTTCAGTCACATCCCACCACAGTAAGAAACACTATGCCTTCTGAATGTCGTTATCTTCTTTATCCATTATGAAGTTCTCTTACAAAGTGTTTGCAAAGCCAAAAAAACTAAATAGGAACAGGTTATTTGGACAGGGTCCAGGTCGGCTGCAGACTAGATATTTTTGAGAAGCTTAACTTTCAAAGTGAGGTTTAAAATGAAAATGGTCACGTTTATGTGCACTTTAAGGCAGGACTGAGGTCACGAGTCCAAGTCCCTTTAAAGCACCCTCCTGTCCTTCGAAATCTAATCAATGTATTTAATTAGGATTCAAACCCTATTGTAGAACCCACTGTGTTAGTGCCGGTTTATTATCATTTGTCTTATGCCGCGGCTCAAATTCACGTGAGCTGGAATGATCTAGAAACATGAATAACCTGAAATGGTGTGTATGTGCTTATTTAAATTCCATATAGATATGAGCCCACTTGGCCAGATGGTGGCGCTGTAATTAAGGCTTAAAAAGTAAGTCGTTTTTTGAGAAACACATTGTTGACATCTCATCCTAGACCATCGTTCCGATTGAGGGCCATAAGTCACTCGCTTCCATTTCCGGCCCATAGGACCTTATTTTGGAAAAATATGTACGGTAGTTAATGGTGATAGACAACTTATTTTATCCCGTATGAACTGTGCCCTGAATTACACACGATGTTGGTCAAATTAAAAGATCATATTGTCCATCAATTTTGTCTGTCAAAAAGTTGCAGTTTGTTGTAAAACAGTAAAAGTTACATGTCGATTGAAAACCATTCACTGAACTACATCTCTCGTCTTGCACAATATATGTCACCGATGTGTTAGCGCGGTAATGCTAGCTAGTGTTCATTGCGTGGTTGCTACTAGCTAGATTACTTAGCTATGTTCCACGCAGAAATATATCTCACCTGATGGGTTTAATCCAACGACTCTGTCCCTTCATCACATCATCCTCTCATGGAAGTTCTTTGACGTTAGCATCAGTAACGTTGGGACCTTATTTCGGGAAAAACATATTTTACACTAGTCAACAGCAAGAGACAACAAAATTTGAATTGTTTCCCGAAGTACACATATGATGTTTATCAACTTAAAATATAATTTTGTAAGTCAAGAAAGTCACAGTTTGACATAAAAGTGTTAATACAGAGACTGTGAAAAAACATAACTAGAAAGACCACAAACCTAAAAGTCACGTATGTGACGTCACAACTATTTCTCTCAATAACTGAAGTTAACAATCCTGAAGCTAATGTTACGGACAAGAACGTCTAAGAACTTCCATGTGTAGATGATGTGATGAAAGGACCGTCGTTGGATTAATCACATCAGGTGAGATATATTTGTGCGTGGAAAACAAAGCTAGATAGTCAATTTGTTGACTACCGTAAATATTTCTTCCGAAATAAAGTCCCATAGGATGGAAGAGAGGGACTTAGGCTCTGTATACAGAGGGAACAAACTCAAGCCACCCATTCATCAATCTGCCACTGGCTAGCGTTGCTGCTAAGCTTTTGGCCTGTTAGGGCTACCGTACATAGTGTAGATTTTGGGATGCTGAAAATTTGAACTGTTACAAAATGAATACTGCTGAGCAAACAAATGAAACAATTTAACAACAAATTTATAAACATTAATGAGATGCGAGCTGAAAGAGAATCCCAGCGTCACTTCCAAATCAGCTGGTGTCACTGAACAATGAATTGAACACTTGAGTACATTGGGGAAAAACTACATACAAAAAGGAAAACCGTGTTCTTATCCCAAAAACAATACAAAGTACTTCAACACAGAGAGCTGCAGCTCCTGAGCACTCAGCGCTCGGCTGCAGAGGGAAAGCAGCCGACCCATCGTCTACTACTGACCGCTTTACTTTTGAAAAACAAGGCCCCTGTTTTGTCCACACCCTCTGGAACTGAACTTGAATACGTTGCCATCTCATGTGGTCTAGCTCTCCGGCGAGTAGATCTTGATGAGGTGTTGCAGTTCGGTGGGGTAGCCCGTGACCGGGCAGCGGCGGTTGGCTTTCACGTACGTGTAGATGCAGCGGTAACAGAAAACGAAGCCGGAGGTGGAGAGCACCGTGGCGTTCGCGCGGAGCCTCCGGCACAGCGGGCAGGTCCTGCTGGCGGAGGCCTGCGGAGTTTCTTCGCCACGATTGGCTGCGAAGGGTGGAGGATCCTGCTGCAGGTGGAGGGGGGGAGGGGGAGCGGGCAGGGAGGTGAGGGTTTTCACGGTGCTCTGGTTGTCTGAGGAGTACCACCACTCCAGGAACTGCAGGAAAAAGACGCCCATGGAGAGGGAGGTGGAAAGGGACACGGCCACGCCCCTCGCTGCTTGTGACATCAACCACCACGCTCTCCGCGCCAGGCTGCAAGCAGAAGAACAATGCATTGTGGGTGGAGGATTTAAGATCTTTGTCTGACATTGGGTTCATGCAAGAACATTCCCATATTCTTAAACCAAATTCCTGTCACTTTGCTCTTTTACCAGAGTTTCAAGTGGGATTGATCACACGTTAAGATAAGGCTGCCTGTTCGGCCCCGTTTGTGACAGGTTTTGTTACCAAAGGGTAAAAATTAAAAAAAAATAAATAAATAAATTTGAATTTTTCACTGCCAAACTTCAAATCAGAAATGTGTCATCAGAGCTGAACTGCACTGTGACAGAAACAGAGAGAACAGTCTGACATGAAGTTTGATGAGACAGCGATCTCTGGACATCGTGGATTCATCCTCAGAATGAAATCTATAGGCGACACTGTCCTTTATAACACTGTGACTCTGTGGACATTAAGGCGGCTGTGAGGTTAGCAACACTTGCTCTGTAACATTTACTGCAGTAAACACTGTTTAAATCAAAGTCATCTGTATGAAGCTGTAAGCGATCAATGAACAGCCATTTGTCATGCTGTGTTTACACTGATTAGAACATTCCTGTGATGTTGGAGATGACGTGAATGTGAGTGAGGATGACTGTGGTGCAGCTGAAAGGACCTCAAGATTCTAAAACTAGACTAAAACAACAGTGAGTTTTTAAATTATAATATTTTCATCTTCTGTTATTGTCACCGGCATTTTATCCTGTCAGGTTACAGCCGAATGTAACATACAGAAGGATTCCAACACTTTATCATTCATTAAGGAAATTCACGTTTTGTAGGCTAAATGATAAATAAGCGGACTACACTGGGAAAAAAATATAAGTTTGTTATCACGGACCATTCATTAACATTGTTTGTACGCAGTGTTTCCCACAGGATTTTGTGAGACCATGGTGGGAGGACATCAATTCTCTAGAGAGGTCCGGGGGCATGCTCCCCCAAAAGAAGAATTTGTACATTTTAAAGTTAAGTGAGTTAATTTGGTGCACTTTAAAAGCAAAATAAGGCTAAATCTATGAAGAACTTTGCACTCTTGATAACAATTTTGTGCCCTAGTAAACAGTTTGATCATATTCACACTGCATAGATATGAATGCTGATTAAACAGCAAAAAAAGTCAACTGATTTATTTAATGTTTTTCCAGCAACCCTAAGTAATTTCCCTAAAATTTACTTTTAATGGACACGTTTTATACTTCCTGTAAATATAATCCAATTAATCTTATTTCCACACTGTATGTATTGTGTTAACACCTTATTTTGAAAACCACACTTTGTCACATGTGCATCCTCGTCGCGCTACATTCACCAAGTCCGACGCAATTTGATAAGTTATATTGTATGTTGTGCCCGTATTGCGTACAATTAAGAGTTGATAGCCTCTCTTCAGCTAAGACTCACACTCTAACCCTTGTTACAAGGTGAGAAAATGACTGAATGAATAAAGTCGCCGGCGGCAGTGGTCTCACAGCAAGAAGGTCGTGGGTTCAAACCCCGGTTGCCCCGGCTTTTCTGTGTGGAGTTTGCATGTTCTCCCCGTGTCTGCGTGGGTTCTCTCCGGGTGCTCCGGCTTCCTCCCACCATCCAAAGACATGCAGACTAGATTAATTGGTCTTTAGGTGTGAGTGGTTGTCTGTCCATGTGTGGCCCTGCGATGGACTGGCGACCCGTCCAGGGTGCACCCCGCCTTTCGCCCGATGTCAGCTGTGATTGGCTCCAGCCCCCCGCGACCCTGTACGCAGGATGACGATGGATGGATGGTATAAAGTCGCTTACCCTGCCTGTCAGCTCGCTCTGTTCCTTTTAACTGCATTTACCATAAAGGCTCTAAAACGTGTGCACTCCAAATTTAGCGGCTAGCTGGATCGTGTTCTCACAAACGAGAGACAGTGGAAACACTCAACACACCTCAAAAGAAAAAGTAGCTTTCTCAAGTCGGATGCCAAAGTGTGTGAGCAGAACTCTTTGATGTTAATATATTTTCGGCTCATTTTGAAACTATGGCGGAACAATTTAGACTGTGGCGGGCCGCCACGGTCTCATTAATTGATGAACACCACTGTACACAAGAGAAAATTTTAAGCACACATTGTCTAAAAATGCTCATACATGCCACTTTTGTCACTGTTTGTACGAGGCCTATTGATTTTGTTTTGTGACGGCCTATTTGAATTAATTAATCAATTCCTTCCTTCCTTGCAGCCATTTCTTTGCAGGTAGTTCGGCACAGTGCTGTTTGTTTTGTTAAACCTAAAAAGAAAAAAACTCTTTAAGAGCCTCAAATCAGGAGAAAAAATCTGGCCCTCTGTCAGTAGGATGGCGGACCCCGACCAGTTTGTGAGCACCAACCATCACCAGCTTTAAACCTAAAAAAGTCAAAGTAAATAAATTATCTGATTGGAAGACCTGACTCCGGTAAAAAAAAAGATTGGTCTGCATTCAGAGGGGGACACAGAGCGGCCAGAACTGTCCCCACTGATTGGATGAACTATTCATCTAACACCAACAACACAGACACACAGAGTTACCTCCCCTCAGCTGGGCTGCCAGTTCTGTTGGTCTTCAGCTCCATGTCTCTGATATCCTGAGCGTTAAGTCGTGCCAGTCTGACCCTGGCCAGCCACAGCAGGGGATTATGGGTCCTGGCGACTCCAAAGACAAAGAGCAGCTGCTGGCTGAAGACCCAGGCCTGCCAGGCTGAGCTGACGTACGGGTACGCTGCCACGGCCGCCCGGTACAGCCTCTGGCTCCTGGTCTGCGCCAGCCGGATGGAGAAGTCCTCCTCGTCCCTCTGCCGCGCCAGAGTCGCCTCCAGCTTGGCCCGCAGGTACGGCACCAGGCACAGAAGAAGTAGAGAGCGCCAGTGTGACTTCCTGTGCAGCCCCAGACGAGCGGGAAGCCCTTCACCTCCCGAAACTCTCTTCAGGCCGTAGAAGTTCTCAGAGAAGGAGGCGCTGCAGTGAGACAGGAAGTGGTTCTGGAGGAGGAGGTCCAGCAGCAGATAGAGCTCATCAAAGCGTCGCCACAGGAAGCCAAAACGAGACGGGTTGGACTCCGCGAGAACCTGAGAAGGCCACCAGCGCTGGGGTTAGAGCCAAGGGTGACGTTTATTTGTAAAGCATAGGGCTGCGTGATTAATCAAAATATCAAACATCAACAAACGCTCCTCATTTATCCCCAAGCTGCATCAACAAATGACAAATGACATCCCTTTGAAGCTGAAGTATGGATCATACACCAGCCTGTTCTCATCAGTAATGATGTCAATAGACACGGGACTTAAAGTTTAAGGTTTGGATGCTGACAGCTGCCGGCCTGCACGCACACATCAGACGCACTTTTTGTTTTTAAGAGAGAGGCAACAGACTTAGCTGATTATCCGTGAAATCAGCGTTTCATGTTGAAACTCCACCTGCAAGGACCAGAACTGTGCCGCTGCCACAACTTCAAATGCAAAGTGCTTTACACAAGGAAAAAGTAAAAACCAGACCCACTGAAGGCACTGCAACTCCTGGCCAACGAGTGACGCTCACCTTGATGGCGTGTCTCAGCGCCGGCCTGACCGCCTCCATCAGAGACTCTTGGGCCAGGACCTCAAAGATTGACGGCTGCTCGTTCGCAGCGGTGGCGGTCAGATGGGCTCCGGCCTCTGCCATGGCTGCTGCAGAACCACAACACCAGACTTTTAACTTCACAACATTATTCAAGTCCCAGAGCTAAACGTGGCTTATTTTCCTGAAAGACGAATCTTTGAAAAACACCCAGGGTTGTTTAACAAATCTTCCTGCTTTTCTGAATGTAATGCCATATCCTGCAAGACTTTTCAAGACTATCCTTAAAGGAAAAAATCCATATAAAAAGGATGATTAACCCATTTTCCCAAGTTACTTCTCCATTTCCCATTCCAGGAGACTAGAAATGACATATCTCCTCCTGTGTTTACCACACACACAAAAGAAAACTTCAATATATAGTAATGGCATTACTAAGTAGCTTAGTGTACTTGTACATAGAGATGTAATCTCTACCTGCTAGTTATGATGGCAGGAATACTTTCCTTTAATAAATCTCTGCCATAATGTTCATCATTTTTACATTTAATTAAATGCAATTATATTAATGTGCTTCTCAAAACACTGTCTTTATAAGTAATTAATTTAAGAAACTCCAAGTCAGCCATAAACAAAAGAGGTGACTTGTACAACACCTGAAGTTCCTGCTTGTCACTGTGCAGCGTTACCTTCCGGTGCTCGCTGCTAGCTGTGCTAGCTGGAAGTTAGCAGGACCGCGTCGCTCTGGTTTCCCGGCGTCTCTGCTGGCCTCACGAGCTCATCTGACACACCTCATGGTGCGCTGAACACTACAACAAAAACAGAGGGACAGATCACTCGCCATTTATCTTTCGTTACTGATCACTCTCCACGGATGTCCACAACAACCACCACTTCCGCGCTCAGACGTTTTCCTTTATTTCAACAACGTCATGACGCAGATGTACGTCATTCTGGCCGCTCCATCGCAGCAGGGTAAACGCTGCAGGATGGGACCTAGACAGGTGCAGCTGAGTAAGTGCACTAATGAACCTTTTCAGAAGGTCGACATTTCTTTATTTGACATTCTTTATTCTAATATTCTAATATTTTGAGATGTGGATGTTTGATTTCCATGAGCTGTAAGCCATAGATCAATCATCAAGACAAAAGGCCTACAATATTTTACTCTGTGTAATGAATCTAGAATATATAAAATTATGGGGGAAAATTAACTTTTTAAAATTAAGATGCATCTGCAGGCTAAGTAAAAAATGACACACTGATATGATGGACAAAGCTACAACTTACAATGATTTCATTGTTGATCGATTGATTGTTTTAAAAAAAAACAAAAGTCAGAAAATAGTGAAAATGACTCTCAGAGTCCAAAGTGACATAGCTTCTTTTGTCTGACTGACAATATTTAGGAAATGTTATTGTTTAAGACACTGGAGCCTTTGAATCTTTTGACATTTTATCTGATAAATTAGTTCATTTATTATCAAAGTTGTTAAAGCTGGGGTGGTAAATTTATTTCAGAAGCATTTTTTGCTATATTTGTTGTCTTTACATCCCAACAGCAATCAATAAACACACACACACACACACACACACACACACGCGCGCGCAGTATATGTGGTTAATGCAGGACAATGCCTTTACTTGGTCTGCTAGTTGATGTCTAATTTTAGAAGTGCAAATTTCCCAGCATACCTGCAATCAATCAAAAAAACTAAATTAATTGACATTGACCCACTAGGTAATCCTGCCTTGGTTTTTAGAATTTACAATATTTTATCCAATATTATATATAAGGCATAGGCATGGGTAATTCAATATCAAATTAAAATCATTTGTAATATTGTAAATGACAAAGTCAATGGAGTTCATAAATATCAAATTAATTTGAAACAAACCAGCTTTGGTTTTGTTTGTTTCTCTGTTGGTTTATCGTCCATCTGTCTTTCTGTCTGTTTCTGTCTATCTCATCCTCTGGAAAACGCACACATACACGCAAACACTTCCTAAGATGTTAACAGCCTTTATATAATATTAAAGTCAGGGGAACAGATGGATGGAGAGACACCAAGGCTCCCTGCAGGTATTAATAGAAAAATGAGAGGGTGGGGGGGGACAGAGGCAGAAATATGAGACGTGCTGCCAGAGTTTAGAGGATGAGAGGAAACATTTGGTGACTGGAGAGGATTAGAGGATTACTGACACAGCTGACTTACTCCCATCAGCATCATCACTTTGTTTCTCTCTCTGTTCATCATCTCCCTGCCTGTCTTTGTCTAGCTGTCGTCCAGTGAAGTCAGAGGACATACAGGAGGTGATGATCCAGTATGGAGATGTCTGGGTTCTTCATCCGCAGAGGAGGTGAGTCGGGAATGGGGCAGAGGGAGGCTTATACAGCACAGATGAAATTTGGAAGTTGATTTACCTCGTGTGATTTTAATTAGAGGCAGTTTTTGTCTTGAAAGTGTAAAAAGAAACATCCTCCACTTTTATGAGTGTGAGAAATGCTATCAACCAGCAAGATCACTGTATGCTGTTTTTAGACAATACTGTACGTCGTAAAACCTTTTTATTAGGATTGATGTTGAACAAGTTATGGGAAAAAACAAATAGGTAATTCTGTATCTGCTTTCCAGTGAATAGGAAATACATGCTGAATACCAGTCTTACTTTTACATTACGTTGACAGGCTCACTGAATTTAATCCTTTCTGTTACTTTGCCCTAAATGACGAGGCTTACGTAATTACATTTGCATGGGAAAGGGAGGATGAACCGGATGAAAAACCGGTGTTAAAAACAAGTGTAACAATTAGAAATTGTTGAGAAAGAAAGATTTAAAGTACGGTAGTTATGGAATGATGAAAACTTGGTGACAGTTTTTTTTCTTGCTGGTATTTGATTGTAGAAAGCATGTCTGCCCCTCTCGAGTCGTTCAGAAGAAAATTGTAATCTCATTGGAACTTTGTTGCACTAGTCAATATGTTCATAGTAAAGCTTCCCTGTAGAATTGTTTATATTCTGTGTTACTCACCAAAACGCATTGTGTGTATTGTTGACGTCTAACAAATCTGTTGAATGTATTTCCTTCTTCGTAAAACACTTGCAATTTAAAAAAAGTACAAAGGGGCTTGTAGTGATAAACACACAGAAAATGTTACCAACTCTTCATTTCCCCTCAGCTGTATGGAGCTTTTTAGCCTCTTTTAGCTCATTGTTTGGGTTTTTCAGCCCCTAAAACACCACCTTCATCACACTTGTTTCCAGCCACTGAAGGCTGCTTTCTACCACGACCCACTGTACACTACCAAATTGCAGACAGACAAACTTAGCCACTATCTGGTGAACATATTGGAGTTGGTGGAGACCAAAACAGAGCTAAAAGCTGAGTGAATGTTGGCCTCTCTTTAGTCTGATGGTCGCTCTGTGTCTGCTGGTAGTGAAAGTTGAGTTTTTTAACTTGTTCCACTGCCCCCAAGTGGACAAAAAAATAAATTAATGCACCTTTAAGCATTTATTAGATCCACCAAACAAGCTCAACTTCAATTTTTCAATCCAAACTAAAAACTCTGTGTTTGCTTTCTTATTTCCAGTTGCGTCGACGCTGACTGAGAGGCTTGGCGAAGAGAACGGCAGAATTAAACTACAAAGCTAGATTCAGCTTTCCACACTTGAACTACTCCTCTGAACAAGCTGCCCTCCCTCCCTCTTGCTTTCCGGGGAAATATGTGTCTCCTGTTCCCGGCACTTCTCTTTGTCCTCCTTGCCTTTTATTCTCCCCCATCCCTTTTCCCATTCGTCGAGGGCACAAAGTTGTGTCCCCACCAGTGCATCTGTTACGAGCACGCTGACCTGGTGGACTGCCGTGGCCGTGGGTTCGAGCATGTTCCCAGGGGCCTCCCACACGGCACGTGGCTGCTGGAGCTGGGAGGAAACAATTTGAGCGAGATTGGCTCTCGATCCTTCACTGGACTGTGGTCCCTGCGGGTGCTGGTGCTGACCAACAGCCAGATACAAGAAATACAACCACAGGTATGAACCAAGGGAAGAAGGAACTTTTAATGGGGATTTTTTTTTTTAAGTTTCTGAAAATTGCACTGGACACATTTAAAACATTTGAAAGAATGTTAACAGGTTTAACTTTAAGTTTATCAAAATATATTTTTGGGCTTGCTGTATTAGAGAAGTTGAAGTGGAATCACTTGAAGCAGTTGAAGTACAATATGAAAAGCAGTCATCTGAAAAGTAATGCACACAACGCAAATCTTAAATTCCCATCGTTTTAGTTTGACTGCTGGACTACTCGTGCTCACAACGTGAATAAACGCAATCCGCCATTACTACAGCTGTATGAACCCAAAATAAACATTTTGCTGTGGTTTAGTTGCAATAAATGGATGAAACTGAGACCGAAATAACTGCAATATGATGCAGATTTGTTGAACATAATGAATTCATGCTTTGTCAGGTCTCTCAGCAACATGACAAGCAAACTTAGAATGCTTGTTTTTCAAATAGAGCTCGGATCAATCAGGGCTATGCTATGCTAACTTCTTTCATAGGAAAGTACAACGATAGCTGGAATCAAGTGAGTGAAGATAAATCAATGTTTTTACAAATTACAAGTAAAAAGTTAATTTCACAAAACCAATTAACTCTGAGCTCCTCCTGCTGTTAAACAACTCCATTATCAGAGCAGAATCCAGTCAGACTGCAGGTGTTTATTTGTCCATTTGACTTGCAAACAATGAAAGCCGTTAAATTATCAGTAAAAGTGTAAAATGAAAGCAGTTGAAAAGCAATGTTTAGAATAAGGGATGTAAGCACTGTAAATACCTTTTGAAGTAGAAATGCGGCGCACTGAACACAGGTCAATTGTTGAAGTGTAATCTCTAATCTAATCTCTCTGTAATTTCTTTATTTATTCAGAGGGACAGTGCACATTAATAAACATTTTTAACATTGCATCGATGTAAATATACCAGATTTAGTTGACACCAGTTGATATGTCTGTATGCCTTTCTCTCTCACCACAGGCATTTCTCTCTTTGTCATACCTGGAGAAGCTGGATCTCAGCTGGAACCAGTTATCATCTCTCCCTGTCGACTTCTCAGCCAGCCTGCCTGCTCTCAGAGAGCTGCGACTGGAGCACAACAACTTGTATCATATATCTGGATCCAGGTACCTATCAGCCTGTTGGCCCTCAGAGTGGAAAATCCATCTCTCTTCCACCACCACCATACCCCATACTCCTGTCATCCTCCTCCAGCTCCTCAGAGCAGAGACTGATGGGTGGGGAGGCATAGCTGCTCACTGTTTATATTGTTTATTCCCTGATGCCCTCTTCTTTTCATGCTGAATACAGTCATGCAAACCTGTTTCCTAACCAGTTTGCCTTGTCAACTTAAAAAGTCATGATATGTCAATGCTGTGTTTATGGCTTGTTTCCACTGACCCCAAGTGGCCCAAAAAAATCAGTTATTGCAGTTTTAAAGAGAGTGAAAAATGACTTCCAGCAGCTTACTTCAGTCTTGTCCACCCCCTCACCCGACGCACCAGTAGGCCACACAAACCTCGTCTGCAACAAGAGAGTTTAGCTAGCAGTCGATGAAGCTACAGATGGCACATGTGGATTGAGTGTTGTGATTGTCTCTCCCTCCTCCTGTCAGCTTGGAGTATCTGGACAACATGGAGAAGCTGGACCTCAGTCATAACCAGCTGGCGTCGGTTGGCCCCGGCGTGTTCAGGGGCCTCTCCAGGCTTAGACAGCTCTACTTACACAACAACAGACTGACAGTAGTGCAGCAGGGGAGCCTGGACATGCTGCCTGGACTAGAGGTGCATACATAACTCTTGAAACCACTCTGTGTACATATCAAGTGGTCGGGACGCCTGCCTGTCTGATCACCTGTCTGTCTGTCTGTCTGTCTGTCTGTCTGTCTAGGTGCTCCAGCTGAGTAACAACAACATCTCTCTGATAGACACTGATGCTCTGGCTCCTCTCTACAGCCTGGCAGTCCTCGCTTTGGAGGGAAACAGCCTGCACCACCTGAAGTTTAAAACCTTCATCAGCCTTCATACAACAGCTACACACATCCAGCTGTCAGGTTAGCAGTCTCACTACTACTTCTGTTATCCATGTCCATCTTTGTGTGTTAACCTTTGTTGTTAATCAAGTGAAGAGACACCACTGTGGCTCACAATAGGAACGTGCTATATAGGAAGTTGAAAAAAAAACCCCTGCTATTTAGATTCTCATTATTTCAAAACAAGAGAAACAGCTCGTCACTTTATCTTGTTAAGTCATGACACCTTGCTGTTATCTCGTTAAAACGAGAACTTGGAAAAAGATGGTGTGTTGTTATAACAAGAAGTTTACATGTGCTTTTTAAGTGAGAAAAAGTTCTAGTCAAAGCCTAAAGGGACAGTAAAGCAATGACCAACCATGTGACACGATGGATTTACACATGTGGCAGGAGGTTTTTATGCATTATGGCTTTCGTATTGTTTTGTGGTACAGTACGTTCGGTGTTGGCTACAGGATGGCAGATGTTATCCGACAGGAATGAACATCTCCTGCCCCCCTGCCAGCTCGAGCAATACACACAAGGCCAGATGGGATGAGGGAGGATGGAGAGCTTAAATGCACATTCACTTTATGGCCTCTCAGTCATCAGCATTAAAGCCCAGTGTCCCACCTTCTGTCTATCACCAGGGAAGGTCTGACTACCACTCCTGATGATATTGGATCTCTCTAAAGTAGCAAACATAATAAACTATCCACTGCTGAATGGGCTCCACATATTCACCACCCTCTGACCGGACCAGAGACTGGTTTCATCAAAATAAAAACATATCTAAACACCTCTAGACCTGAAGTTGTGATTATGGGTACAATTGTCTTCATTAAACCTTTTATCAATTTTAGTCAATTTACACTCCAATGTCCTCTCCTTAGGAAGCGAACTGATCTTTTTCATTTTACTACAATCAACTGAAGTTTCTTCAGTTCTTTTATTCTTTTATTCTTTGAGTACTTGTGGGACAAATTAAGTAATTCTCCTTGAGCATTTATTATATATTATTATGAATGGTAGAATGTAGAAAGATTTGTAAATAAGCATAAACACTTTAGCTTTTTACTTTAACTTATATAGATGTACAATGCATATACATGCTGCAAAATAAAACATAAATGGATATTTACAATAAGTAAGATATGAAAAAGTCAAAAACAATTAAAAGATTCAGTTTTTTGTGTGTCTGGTCAAAATCTTCCAGGGATCGGTTTGACTCGACACTCAACACTTCTGAGGCTGTATTATCTTTTTCATTGATCTCTACTTCTACCTTTATTCTTGCCCCACCAGGCAACCCATGGAGCTGTGACTGCGAGCTGCATCGTGTCTTCAGTAAGATCTTGCACGTTCGCCACCTCCACATCGACGACTACCACAACGTGACGTGCCACGACCCGCCGCAGCTGGCCGGGGCTTCGCTGGCCTGGGTGGACAGCCAGCTCTGCGTGGCAGAAACAGCCACCGTACTCGTCATCACTGTCACAGTGCTGGTCACCGTGGTGGCGGCTTTGGTGATGGCGGAGAGGAACAGGAAGAGGAACCGTGGGAAGAACTGGGACACTGAGTCACAGGCGCAAACGTAGAGCCTACCGCCCCGAGAACCTGTATGATAAACAGTGAGAGGTAGTGACCTAACCATGTGAACACCCTGAAGCCTGGTTGACACAATTAGACGATTACTTGAATGGACATTCCCTTTTTCCTTTGATATTCAAACAGGCGATAGAGTGGACTGTATGTCTAGAAGACCTGAAGGACACTACAAGTGTGGTTTGAGTTTTTGCTCACGTTTTCACTTTAAAGTATATTTTCCATATTGTTAAAGCTCCAATGTGCAGACTTAAAAAATAGAATTCAAGAGAACATGATGCAGCTCTTAGATTCACCAAATCCTCCACAGATTAGAAAAACAATGGTCAAAATTTAATGCAACAGAGGCAGAAAAATCCTGACTTATGTTCGGTCCCCCAGTGGGGGAACACCAAGACTGGGTATAAAATTTCCCATAATTCAAGTCAATAAAGTATTTCATTAGATCCCCCCTGCCTGGTAAACACCCACATATTTCAAACTCCAGACATCCAGTTTCTAACACAGTTTTTTTGACATCATAAGGACTACTATGAATAACAGTTTATTTAATACTATCCTTGGTAGAATCATATGTTGATGATGTGATTTCATAATGCTCTGCAAATAATTGTAGAAATAAAAAAAGTTAATTATTGCAATAGTAATACAAACTTTAATAACAATACTCATATAATAATCAATCTTATTTTTATAATAACATAGGCTGTGTTTAAAAACAAAATTAGTTATTGAAGTTTTGAAGTATGCCTATGGCCGCAATGTCGAACAGTGGATCACAGTTCATTGCAAGTTAGGTTAGGTTAGTAAGGATTATTTTAAATTAAATTTTGCATATCAAGATATATATCTACAGTATATCCATCTCATCCTTAATAATATCATGAAAATTATTAATTATGAATTATTATTACCATATGTTTTTAACCAGGAGGATTTAGAGGGCAGTTAAGAAGTAGCATTAGCTGCTAACGCTAGTGTTAGCTAGTGCGTTGACAGTTTCTATCATTAACTTCACTGACCTTTGTAACATACAAAGCAGGGCTGAGAAAAGAATACAAAAAAGGCCCTACCTGCTCTACCAAGAAATAAAAACTAAGAACAATAAATTACTATACCCTCCCCTTCTAATCATGTTGTACAGTCCCTGAGCATTTGGTATTTTCTTTGAAACAATAATTAGCCTATCAAACTATATTTTCAGCCAGCATTGATGCTTCACAGATGACGCTCATAACAATAAATTGCAAACTTGTAATTTTAGACTTCTTGAGCCTTGTCTTATTACCTGCGTTTGTCTGTCAGATGTTTATTTCAAGCAGTCAGACAGACAGGCAGCACTAGACAGAGTTCTTCATGAGGAACACACTGTGTGTTTCTGGATTACTGCTGGACTGATCGAGGGAAAGGGATAGAGAAAAACAAAGTCCTATTGAGGTCACAGGCCAGATGTCAAGATGATTACTGCCAGACTGGAATACATTTATTAAATGTGTGTGTGTGTTGGTGGTATTAAAGAGGCAGAGACTGAGGCCAGACAGACTGCCTTTCTCTTGTCCTTTCATAATAATTAAGATTATTTTTGAAATCTCTGAATCCCAGCAGAGAAATCCGAGGCTTCTATACCCTTTAGTCTGCCATGTATTTCAGTGGATGAATTCTGAGTGTGTAAATGTATCCTCAAATGCTAACAATGCAAAGCACCACATTTTACAGTTGCGAAAATGACTGCTTGCACAACTCTACATCTGTCAGTGATGGACAAATGTTGATTAGTAAGTGTCTGAAATCCCAATTTGCTGCTAACTATTGAGTGCAGTATTGAGTGTCCATTGAATAGGGATCAGTGAAAGAGGGAGCAGTTTTGGACACAGCCCAACAAACTTTTCAAACACATTGAAAAGTAATTACGTAATTAATTACTCAGCAGCAAAAGCAAGGTGCTATATACTAACGTTAGCTACTTAACTTTCATTCCTCAGCCCAGCTTCGTCAAAGGTGCCTCAACTCCAAATCCTCCACACCCACACATCATCTGCTGTATTTAACACGTGTAGACGTAGAGAACGAGACACTGTGGTTTTACAGACCTATCATTTGGAGGGATTAACTGACCATCCTACATCCTGTCATACAAGCTAACGTTAGCTAACACAGCTCTCCAGAAGTCATTAACTCAGCTGCATTCTTGACATGCCTCAAACTCTAAACAAAACTAGGTGACTTTTTAATGAAGACTCTTTTGTCTAACAAGACAACTAAGAATGTGTGACATCGGAATACTTTGGAATTACTAGCAAATATCTCCTCTTTGGTAAAGGGTTTACCCCAAAAATGGATTTCAAGTGACGTGTAAAAATACTGTATCCAACTGAAAATGCTGCAATGCTAAAGTTTTTCAGCTATTAGCTGTGCATCACTGAAAAGCTGAAGGGAAGGATGGATATTTGGTTTTATGAAAGGGGACACATTTGACCTCTGTCCCTCTTTTAGGTAACAGATTTTAAAGCTGAACAGAACAACAGGGATTAGAGAGATCTTAACTTCATAGTGACTGACTGAAGGATATTTCAGACAAACTGAAAGGTGAGGGGCTGAGGGGGGAGTTGTGACTTCTCAAACCTGATCTTACAGAAATACATGAAATGACCACGAACTCTTAACTCCGGATTAGTACGTGGCACCACCATGTAATTTGGGGGTTAAGAGTGGTCATTTCACTTATTTCTGTGAGATCACGTTCAGGTTGCTCATCTCCTGGTGGGTGAGAGTGACTGTGAAAATGTCCCAGTTGGTGAATAGGATTTCTCCAATTTCGCATCCAGGAATGAAGCAAACAGGGGTGGATGTTTAAAGCTAAAAGGAAGGCACCCTTTGTTGCACTGAAGTTTACTGTGATGTAGAGTTAAAAGAAGCTGTTGGGATGAGACAGTGAGGAATTATGAAATGTGTTCTCAGGGAGACGGAGAAAGAAGCAAATTGTTCAGTTGATCATCTCCTAGAATCCATTACCACTAGTCACCTAAGGTGTAAATAATATTTAGTATATAAGAACTACTTTCTGTGATGCACTCATTTCCATTTAGCTCTGCATAGATCTTGACTTTATAAACACTTACATTATAGCTGAGTTAAGTTTGAACATGAAAGCAGCTCCAGCTGTGATGGTGTTGGTTGAGCACCTCTGGCAGCCAGGGCCACACAAGACTCCCAGGGGAAGAGGACAGGAAGCTCCAAAGGCACTCACCTGGGAGAGCTGATCACAGCTGCAGCCAGTGGTAAAACATCCCGCTGCACTAAAGGAGCTCAAAAATAACATTAGAGCATGATGACAAAGCATGTTCTGTGAAAGATGGCTTAAACACATAGCGTATTTAATCATAGCTCAATTCACAAATCACCTATAATTGTGTTGTAATTATGAGGAAGGAAATACATGCTCAGTAATATTTCACATAAACTGAAGGTAAAGCCACCACACTATGCCATTGTCTGATTATTTTGTATTTAAATGAACGCTTAATAAACCCAAATTACAGGAGAGATTTCAGTGAGTCACCACAGAGTGGAGTAATGCACCCATCCCGTCTGTCTGACATTCTGGAAGAAAAATAGTTATATGAACAGTACAAGGAATAAAATATGTAAGAAGGCTTATCTGCATCAGCAATACTAGCCTGGGTATTAGATCATGTAGGGATTAAGTGGTATCTCACATCACTAGTACAGACTGATCCAGATCGCCAACAAGCAAAGGAAGTGAAATAGGAAACTGGGTAGTTTATGTTCATGGAAAGGGATTAAGATATTTGTTCTTAAATTGGAAGTGAACAGTTAGAAATAGCATTTTTATTTATATATATATAAATAAAAGAATAGTGTTCTACAGCAGTAGGAGAGGAGAGGCTCTTTAGTTAGAAGTGAGGTGGCTCTTAAAAGAGCCGTTGTGTTGTTGTAGAGGTGGTTTGTGAGTTTAAGCCCTCTCTCCGCGGATGCGTCGGGCCAGCTGGATGTCTTTGGGCATTATGGTGACCCTCTTGGCGTGGATGGCGCACAGGTTGGTGTCCTCGAAGAGGCCGACCAGGTAAGCCTCGCTGGCCTCCTGCAGAGCCATGACAGCGGAGCTCTGGAAGCGCAGGTCGGTCTTGAAGTCCTGAGCGATCTCCCTCACCAGGCGCTGGAAGGGCAGCTTGCGGATCAGCAGCTCGGTGGACTTCTGGTAGCGGCGGATCTCTCTCAGAGCCACGGTACCGGGCCTGTAGCGGTGGGGCTTCTTCACTCCGCCGGTGGCCGGGGCGCTCTTGCGGGCAGCCTTGGTGGCCAGCTGCTTCCTGGGAGCTTTTCCTCCGGTGGACTTACGGGCAGTCTGCTTGGTTCTTGCCATGATCTCTCTGTCTCTGAACAAGAGAAAGTGAGGGAAAGCGGACAGACTCGCTGCTCTTAAAGTGCGGGAGCGGCTGTGAGACGGTGACGCTGCTTCAGAGCTCCGGCTCCTGATTGGTGAGGGGCCCCTCCTGGCGCCCAGCACCGCCTAGAGGAGCGACGCACCGCCTGAATCTGCGCTGCTTATTGGCGGAAAATCAGCTCGAAATGTCCGCCAAAATGCAGAGGGGCCGCCCTCTGCTGCTCTGCAGGAGGCCCCTTTTCTGGTTGGTCTGGCAGAACCGTCCCCGCTCCGCGGACATATAAAGGAGGGCTTTGCCAGTCGGGGCCACAATTTCTCTGAGTCTCGACTTTAGAAAACAGATCTAACCATGAGTGGAAGAGGTAAAACCGGCGGAAAAGCCAGAGCAAAGGCAAAGACCCGCTCCTCCCGTGCCGGGCTCCAGTTCCCCGTCGGCCGTGTCCACAGGCTCCTTCGTAAAGGGAACTATGCTCAGCGTGTCGGCGCCGGGGCCCCCGTCTACCTGGCGGCGGTGCTGGAGTACCTGACCGCTGAGATCCTGGAGCTGGCCGGCAACGCTGCCCGCGACAACAAGAAGACCAGGATCATCCCCCGTCACCTGCAGCTGGCCGTCCGCAACGACGAGGAGCTCAACAAGCTGCTGGGCGGAGTCACCATCGCTCAGGGCGGCGTGCTGCCCAACATCCAGGCGGTCCTGCTGCCCAAGAAGACCGAGAAGCCCGCCAAGAAGTAAATCTGGAGACTAACTGCTGACCCACAGCCCCCAAAAAGGCTCTTTTAAGAGCCACACACTTCTGATAAGAACATGTTTTCCTACTTCGTTTCTTCTGTCAAAAAACAAATGAAACAGGTGTAGTTGTACAAGGAGATTTAAATATAGTGACTTTATGGTTTAAAACCAAAATCACCCAACAAAATGATGTAAAAGCTACCATTAATAAAACTGCTATTCATAGCTTTCTTACTTTTAAAGAACTTAATAGTTATGAGGCTAGACTGGAGAGTGTGTGTGTGTGTGTGTATCTCCTCATACTCCTAGCGCCATTATACCAGGTCTCCTCCAAGACCGGCACCTATCACCCCTATGAATGTGCTGGGCAGATACAAACTTTTAGGAAATCAGGCAAATACCTTTTCACTTTAAAGCTCTACTGATACAACTGACATTCAGTGAGCGCACATCATGGCACTGGTGGCCTGTTGGAAAGCAGCCTGCGTCGCTCTTTAAGCTGGCCGGCACCTACTTTCACTTTCCCTTAAAGGCGTATTTAGTCTCTGCAGAGAAAACTAAACTTCACTCTGTAACATCTAAGTGAGATGATGACTAGATTATTAGATATAATAACAGTATGCTGTTGTTGAAAAGCCCTTTTTGTTTTGTTCTAGTTATATTATACTTCCTCTCTCTGACCCTGTCCCCTCTCCAGTCTATTCTCCATCTTCTGTCACTACAAAGACCCTCTTTCAGCCACAAGAGTACATTCTGTTTTCAAAAGTCATTAGAAATGAGCATTTAAGTGCTTTAGCCTATTTTAAATAAAAATTGGGGGGGCCGAACCCCCCTAGCATTTCAGTGTCCCCCCCAGGTTCAAAGTCGCTTCCTCGCCCCTGTATAGCCTATGCATATATAATAGGAACTACTTGAAGACAGAAAAGGTAATAAAACAATATAGATTAGAGAAAATTAGGCTCCAATAATTTAATTTGCTGTTGGAGTAGGAATAAGATACTTTTATTGATTCCCTGTGGGGAAAATTCAGGCTGACACAGAGGCATGTCAAAGAACAAAATACTAAAGAAATAAAATGAAAGTTGAAACTGTTACATTCTATAAATATTAATATATATATTAATCAGTTACTGTAAGTACTTGTACTTCTCTTTTAATGCCACTTCATACTTATACTCTGCTACATATCAGCAGCGAATGTTGCACTTCTTCACTGCAAAATTAACATTGTTAACGTTATTATGAGATAACGTTATTAGTTACTTGACAAATTAATATTTTTGCATAAACATTTGACGTCCTGATGATCAGTTAAGTAATAAAAATGAAATTAGCAACTCATTTCACTCTCTGCTTTTCATTTGCTGCTTCTCATGATGATTTAAATGTATTGTTAATAAGGTTGAGGTTTGGAAGGTGTCACTTTGAGTGTGATGGCATTTTCTCCTCACTTTCAGAACATTTCCAAACCAAACAGTCAGTCGATGGATGGAGAAAATAATCCGCATATTAATCCAGCATGAAAATAATTATTGGTTTCAGTCTGAGCTCCACCTCAACAACTACAGCGCTAAAATCCTGCTTTTACATGAAAGCTTAATAATAATCTAATGATGTAATAGTCTAACAGTCAAAGGGGGCTTTTTCCTGCTGTGAGTACTTAAGTAGACTGCGCTTTCCTGAGTAGTAAGCTATATGCTTTTACTTAAGTAACATTTTCAATGCGGGGTTGTTACTTGTAACAGAGTTCTTTCCCAGTGTGGCACAACTGGCTTAAAGGATTCATTCTGTTCTCATGGAGAAATGTTAAAAGCTTGCTTTTGCTGCGCATGCGTGTTGTTGCTCAACCTACATCCAATCCTGTACGAGGAACAGCACAGTCTAATTTGCATTATTCGCATTCAAATGTGCCATCTCAGGCCTACAGGAGTCATTCGTTGAAGCAGTAATCTACTCATACGAAACTCACGATGCCTGATCCCGTGAAAGCGCCGAAGAAGGGCTCAAAGAAAGCCGTTTCTAAGAGCGTCTCCAAGACCGGCAAGAAGAAGAGGAAGACCAGGAAGGAGAGCTACGCCATCTACGTGTACAAGGTGCTGAAGCAGGTCCACCCCGACACCGGCATCTCGTCCAAGGCCATGCTGATCATGAACTCGTTCGTGAGCGACATCTTCGAGCGCATCGCCGGCGAGTCCTCCCGTCTGGCTCACTACAACAAGCGCTCCACCATCACCTCCAGGGAGATCCAGACCGCCGTCCGCCTGCTGCTGCCCGGTGAGCTGGCCAAGCACGCCGTGTCTGAAGGCACCAAGGCCGTGACCAAGTACACCAGCTCCAAGTAAACCCGCTGATACACCAGCAACACAAAGGCCCTTTTCAGGGCCACCACTGTTTACACTAAGAGCTCTCTTCCTGTTTAATAAGTCAGTTTTGTTCAATATCCGATACGACTGAATTTTTCTCATTGTAATTAAAGTTATTCTGTCTCCATCGAAGAATCTGTCTTGATGGCTTTAGTAGCCTATATCACTCTTGTCTTGTTGCACTGGACAGTAGAAGCTGCTTCATTCCTTTAACGCAACCCCAGCCTGAAAGAAGTGTATGACTTGCAATAATTCCAAGAGTTTACCATTAAAGCTAATTATTCTAGAGGCCAGAACTTGAAGTTGTCCTTAATATCTCTAATACAATAATGTCATGGCCTTTTGGTCGGTCAGTTAAATTCCAATGTTTAGCAGTCATATTTTAGAAGTTATACTCTATTCATTAACACGAATAAATGTTAAAACACTCGATGTAACGTCAAAATCCGGGTCCCGTGCCTGTGTCTGGAGGAACTTCTATTTTGTTTTTTTTATCCACTAGATGGCGCCATTGGTCGAGTTACAAGTAAAGCTCCAAAGTGGGAGTGTAGGCTACTCAGATCCACAGTATCAATATCCCAATGTAAAAATACTTCATTACATGCAAAGAAAATCCAGAAAATGTAAACAATTTTCAGTGTAAAACAGATAAAATCCCTTTGTACAAATAATGGTATTAGATCCATATGTAATAGCCTATATTTGACACACAGCGTTTCTGCTTAAGAGTGTACACAGGTTAAACCGGTTTAAAACTAATTTTATTATTGTGTTAACCTCAGACTCCTTGTCTTTATTTCATGTTCTCTGAGGAACATATAGAATATGTAATTTTCAATTACTTAATGTACAACCCTCCTTCACATTTATATTACACACTTGTGGACCCGAGGATAATAAAAGTGTCCTCTTCCTACTTGGCCCGATGTTGGTGTGTGTGTGTGTGCATATGTATGTCTTTTTTTTCTGCTCCTACTATTCAAGCTCAAAGTTGCAACATTGTTACATTTCAAGCAATGAAATCTGTCTGCTCCCAGAGATTTTCAGATCAAAAGGGGAATCCCTGTGGGATGCAGAAACTGGCAGAGAACCAGATCCAATCAAACTTTATTTCTAAAGCACATTTAAAACAACCAGGTTGACCAAAGTGCTGTACACTGACATGAAACAATAAATAGACAAAATACAACATACAGCTCTCATGCCGGATTAAAAGCCAAGGAATAAAAATGTGTTTTAAGTCGCGTTTTAAAAACGGAAGGCTGGGGGCCAGTCTGACATGAAGAGGCAATTAATTCCACAGTCTCGGGGCTGTGACTGAGAAAACTCGATCCCCTCTGCTCTTGAGCCGTGTTTTAGGGACAACAAAAAGAGACTGGTTCGCAGACCTTAATGACCTTGAAGGAGCATGCAGCTTCAATAGATCAGTGATATAGGGTGGAGCTAGGCCATAATGGGCTTTAAAAACAAACAATAGAATCTTAAAATCAATCTTAAAATTAACAGGGAGCCAGTGAAGAGAGGCAAGAACAGGGGTGATACGATCTTGCTTACGAGTTCCAGTAAGGAGACGAGCAGCAGCATTTTCAACCAGTTATAGACAAGAGAGGGAGGCCTGGCTAACACCTATATACAGAGCATTACAATAATCAGTGCATGTATAACCCTCTCGAAGTCTGTGAAGGATAAAAAGGGCTTAAGCTTAGTAAGAAGCCTAAGTTGAAAGAAACTTTCTTTCACAACAGAATTGATCTGCTTCTCCATTTTAAAACTTTTTAAAAAATTTTTTAACTCCCAGGTTTGTTACAACAGACTTAACATAAGGTTGCAAAGTGCCCAGGTCTATTTGTGAGACATCAGAGGTGCCACTGGGTCTAAAAATCATGACTTCAGTTTTACTCTCGTTGAAGTTTAAAAAATGTAAGGCCATCCAGGCTTTAATATCATTAAAACAGTCAACCATTCTTGTTAAAGAACTACCATCTTTTCTTTTGATGGAGAGGTAGATTTGCAAATCATCTGCATAGAAACGGAAGCTGATGTTATGTCTATTTAAGGTAGATCCAAATGGAAGCAAATAGGGTGAAAAAAGAATTGGCCCGAGTATTGAACTCCACATGTGATTGACACAGAAGGTGAAACAAAGGCACCAAAACTGACTCTAAAATCTCTGTCTGTCAAGTATGACCTAAACTATTCTAAAGTGCAATTTATACTTCTGCGTCAAATCGACGGTGTAGGCTACAGGGCCACGCAGAGGCTACGTAAAGGCTACGCCATCGCCTGATATGCACCTCCTCAAAAATGTAACTACACGTCGAGTCGACGCGGACCGTAAGCTCTGTGATTGGTCGGCTGTGTAGCCTCGCAATGCCTCTGAGCCGACCGAAAGTACCCAGCGCTTTGAAGTAACTTTTACTAGCAGCCAAACCATCTGCTGTAACACAGTGAATCAATATATTTGAACGTCACAACCCAAGCGAAATGACTCGTTTCGCTATCAGAATGTGATCCATTCGCTTGATAACATTTGAAAAGGCTACACCAGCCGCACGTTTACAATTTTACCCCCATTTACGTTAGCGGAGCGCTAAACCGGAAGTTAGCCTGCTTGGCCGGCAAAAGTCAGCACAGTGGACGCTGTAGCGCTACTGCCGTCTAGTGTTTGGGGGTGTAATTGCAGAATGACAGACACACCTACGCTCAAGTATAAATGCATGGCTACGTGCGTAGTCTACGGCGTAGGTACGCATGTAGACCCTACGCAGGAGTATAAATGGGCCTTAAGGCAGTGCCCTTAATCCCCACGCCATGCTCGAGGCGAGAGATAAGGACGCTATGGTCAACTCTGTCAAATGTTGATGTAAGATCTAAAAGCATAAGAATTGCATAATCACCAGAGTAAGTTGAGAATAAAAGATTATTAAAAACGCTTAAAAGTGTGGATTCAGTGCTATGAAATGTCTTGAAACCAGATTGGAACACCTCAAGAACACCATGTGTATCTAAAAAGGACTGCAACTGTAAAAGAACTGCCTTCTCTAAAATCTTCAAGACAAAAGTGAGTTTAGAGATAGGGCGATAGTTTGAAAGAACTGATGTGTCCAAATTCGTTTTTTGGATGAGTGGCTGCACCACTGCTTGTTTAAAATAGGCTGGTACAGAACCTGAAGTAAGGCTGCTATTTAGAATTTCTTGGATGTTAGGTCCCACACATCTTTAAAAAGGCGAGGTGAGACAAAATCAGTGGGACAAACTGAGGGTTTCAAAGGTGACAATATTTTTGAGAGTAGAGATGGATACAGACTCAAATTGGGTGAAAACAGCTGCACACTATGGAAATGGAGGGGTCAAAAGCAGGAAGTGAGATGCTTGCTTTAACTGAGGCAATCTTATCGACAATAAAGTGGAGAAATTTTTCACAGGCCTCAAAGGATGCTACATGATAGACTATTGGAGAGTCTTAAGAACAGACTTAATTTAAAAAAAAAGAACATGAGGTTTGTGGCTATTATTTGAAATAAAATCCGAGAGATACTTGGTCTTCTCAGCTTTAAAACTTCTCTGATAACTGTGCAAACTTTCTCTAATAATGTCATAAGAAACCTGCAGATGATCTTTTTTCCATTTGCGTTCAGCTTTCCTACACTCTTGTCCAGCAGCACGAGTTAAGTCGTTTATCCAAGGTTCAGATTTGGGTTTTGAACACATGGATTTAAATGGGGCAATGGTGTCAAGAATGTTGCAACAAGTGGATAAAAAAGAAGAGATTAACTTTGCTGTATTCTGACTAGCAAAGGATCCCATAGTCTCCCTAGCAATATTAAAAGCACCAGAGAATTGCGCAGCAGTGGTGGGTTTGATCATCCTGCAGATACGAGGTGGAGCATATTGCTTAACGGTTTGATAGGGAAGAGAAACGTCAAATAAAACAGGTGCGTGATGATGAGCAGCTGATGAAGGCCGGGGCAACCGGGCCCACATTAATCCCACGACCTTCTTGCTGTGAGGCGACAGTGTTAACCACTGCACCACCCAGGCATCAGTATATCATTTATTAAATTATTAAACTTTGATATAATAGATAGCAGTATTAGCAGTAGGCCTATATAATAAGTAGCCTAATTGTTACGATCGGACTGGCGTTCTACGGGAGCAGTAGAGGAAGAAGCTCTTTAGTGAAGAATGAGGTGAAGTAAGAAGTAAACATGGAGACTCTCTGACTGCTGACGTACAGCCCCAAAAAGGCTCTTTTAAGAGCCACACACTCTCTTCAATAAGAGCATAGTTTCCTATTTTGTGTCATCCATCAAAAATTGAATAAACATATATAATAAAAATAAACATGCATGTAGCTGCATGAGGAGATTAAATATAGTGACTTAGTGATTTGGAACCAAGATCACCCGACAAAGTGGTGTGAAGGCTATCATTAAAAAATAGCTGCTCTTAATAGCTTTGAGTTATAACCTAGTAGTTATGAGTTACTTTTAATGATCTGTATGGGGGAAACCGGCTGCAAACAAACTACAATTTAAATTATAGTTACATTCTAAATATGTAGGCCTATAAATATGTAGGTATACACACTATAGCATTCAATTAACATTCTATGTAGATGTTTATTTCCACACTATATAGGCTACAATCAATCATAACAATTATGTTCAGTAAGATATAGTCAAAAACACAGTCTGTAGTTGGCATTGTGGAGTCTGATGGCACATTTCTGTCGGCACTCACTCAAATCCACACCTTTCTCTCCATCACCCAGGATTCAATCAGTAAGGAATTATAATCAAAGTGCGTTAACAGGAAAGCTGTTGAATAGTGCTTTCCTTTCTGACTCCATGTTTGTGAAGACTTGTGAAGACCGCACATTGGTCATGTTGTGCTGCTCAGTCTCCTGAACTTCCACACAGACTCACTGATGCAGCTGCTCCCTTTCACTTTAGACTGGATTTGAGCCATGGAGATATTTATAAAGAGCGTGTTTAATGCTGACGGAAGACAAAGTTAAGGGTTGTGACTTATACTTAAATCACGCTCTCACAGAAGTCTCACAGGTAGAAAAGAGCATATTAATACACCACATGGCAAAAAAAAGATCCAGTTAGCTGGCGCTACAAAGGAAAGATATGGAGAGAAAGAACAAAATGAACGACATAGAGGAAATTAAAAAATGAATCTCTGTAACTTTCCTTCAGAAACCCCCTCTTTGAGTGATCTTAAGACAAAAGGAATAATCATGAGCAACACACCAAATGTACAGAGCACTCTTTAAGAGCAAGCACAGGAGTGGGATCCATACGGTAACGCAGCAGGCCAAACAAAATCTTTCCACACTCCTTTCCCATTCTTAATGTTGTACTGTTCTTCTTTAAACCTCTTTTTGGATGAAGTATATCCTATTCTCTCAGAATAATAGGCTATGCCGTGGCATCTCATGCTTCATTTTTCAATTGACACTTTAACAACAATCTTCTGCTTCAAGAATAAAAATCACTGGTTCTAACCGGCCCTCCATTAGGGGGGACTTAAACTGTTATTCTACATATTTCTGTGTGCTACGTTGAGAGTGATGAAACTGAATTTGTATGTGTTCGCATATTTTGCCAATGAAGTTTATTCTGATTCTGAGATGGACAAAAAAACAAAATCAAACTCAGAAGAAAAGCTGCTCTGTGTGGGCGGAGTCAAAGGTCTGCCTGCAGAAAGTTTGGCACCGCCCAGTGAAACTAACTAACTCTGTTACGTCCGCAGATAAGATGTAAATACCAAACGCAGCCTTCAGACAGCAGACTCGACGCAGTCATCTGAAGAAGAAAACCCGCATCATGAGTGGAAGAGGCAAGGGAGGAAAAGGTCTGGGGAAAGGAGGCGCTAAGCGTCACCGCAAAGTGCTCCGTGATAACATCCAGGGCATCACCAAACCCGCCATCCGCCGTCTGGCCCGCCGCGGCGGAGTCAAGCGGATCTCCGGTCTGATCTACGAGGAGACCCGCGGGGTGCTCAAGGTCTTCCTGGAGAACGTGATCCGCGATGCCGTCACCTACACCGAGCACGCCAAGAGGAAGACCGTCACCGCCATGGACGTGGTGTACGCTCTGAAGAGGCAGGGCCGCACCCTGTACGGCTTCGGAGGCTAAACCTGATCCTGACCCGCTGATCCTCAAACACAAAGGTCCTTTTAAGGGCCACACACTTCATCTAAGAGCTCATCCTCAACACGAACGGTTGCACTGATAAATACATGATACTATCAAAACGTCAACAGTAGCTTTCACCAAAACCTCTCAATTCAGCATATAATACCAGCACCATCAAGCCACTAACACAAAAATTTGAGTGCTAATGGGTCATGTAGGGTGGTCTACCCTATTGCCCCTCCCAAATAAAGATCTGGTTGTTCAGTGGGTCATAGGCTTTATTTCATCCTGTAATGAAAAGAATATGAACTCATTAATTTTTTTTTTTCTTCAAGATTCCCCTTGTCACTTCCTTAACATCTTGTACCTTTACATAAAAAGAATCAGCATGTAGCCTACTGTACTGATACACTACACAAATTACTGAATTGGGAAGAATTATGCTGTGCCAAGTGTTACCTAGGCCTACAGATACAGTCAAAATTAATATTACAGCCCACCAGCTGTTTCAGGGACATATTTGGACTGATATTAATATTTACTCATTAAGTACTTAAGTACTAGGAATATTGTACTTTTGAGTACACTGCACATTTTAGTTAGCAATTAGTTACTTGCAGAAACAAAATATGATGTCCTGATAAAGTAGGTTTAGTTATATTTCAGAGTACAGCTAAAATGATCAGTTGAGTAATAAAAATGAAATTAGCAACTCATTTCACTCTCTGCTTTTCATTTGCTGCTTCTCATGATGATTTAAATGTATTGTTAATAAGGTTGAGGTTTGGAAGGTGTCACTTTGAGTGTGATGGCATTTTCTCCTCACTTTCAGAACATTTCCAAACCAAACAGTCAGTCGATGGATGGAGAAAATAATCCGCATATTAATCCAGCATGAAAATAATTATTGGTTTCAGTCTGAGCTCCACCTCAACAACTACAGCGCTAAAATCCTGCTTTTACATGAAAGCTTAATAATAATCTAATGATGTAATAGTCTAACAATCAAAGGGGGGCAATCAAAGTACTTCTACTTTGATTATTTAAGTATACTGCGCTTTCCTGAGTAGTAAGCTATATGCTTTTACTTAAGTAACATTTTCAATGCGGGGTTGTTACTTGTAACAGAGTTCTTTCCCAGTGTGGCACAACTGGCTTAAAGGATTCATTCTGTTCTCATGGAGAAATGTTAAAAGCTTGCTTTTGCAGCGCATGCGCATTGTTGCTCAACCTACATCCAATCCTGTACGAGGAACAGCACAGTCCAATTTGCATTAAGCGCATTCAAATGTGCCATCTCAGGCCTACAGGAATCATTCGTTGAAGCAGTAATCTACTCCTACGAAACTCACGATGCCTGATCCCGTGAAAGCGCCGAAGAAGGGCTCAAAGAAAGCCGTTTCTAAGAGCGTCTCCAAGACCGGCAAGAAGAAGAGGAAGACCAGGAAGGAGAGCTACGCCATCTACGTGTACAAGGTCCTGAAGCAGGTCCACCCCGACACCGGCATCTCGTCCAAGGCCATGCTGATCATGAACTCGTTCGTGAGCGACATCTTTGAGCGCATCGCCGGCGAGTCCTCCCGTCTGGCTCACTACAACAAGCGCTCCACCATCACCTCCAGGGAGATCCAGACCGCCGTCCGCCTGCTGCTGCCCGGTGAGCTGGCCAAGCACGCCGTGTCTGAGGGCACCAAGGCCGTGACCAAGTACACCAGCTCCAAGTAAACCCGCTGATACACCAGCAACACAAAGGCCCTTTTCAGGGCCACCCACTATTTAGACTAAGAGCTCTCTTCCTGCTTCTCAACAGTCTATAAGCAGATCCTTGTCACAGCCAGCCTCTCAGCAACTTAAATTACTTGGCTTCTCCAACTTGGAGACTTTGTCTGTAGTTATCATGCTATATTAAAATGCTACTGCAGAAGCTCTTTTCATGCTTTCATTTAACCCTAATCTGACACCAGTTGTGTAAAAGACTACAACAGTGATGAGAACTCCTGTGACCAGCTACTCTTGCTGGCTCTGTTCATTTGAGAGCCAGCTCTTCATTTAGCGCCACTTCTGATTAGACTAGCATCAACTTTCATTGTCACTACGCAGACTACATACAGAAGTATTCACAGCATCAGTAAACATTAAATGCTTAGAGTGGAGGTGAACAGTAGAGAAAGGGAAGACTGAGCCAACAACAGCATGAGTGGAGTAAAGACACCAGGAAGATCCATGACCTCAAACCATCAGTTAATCAGAAATACTTTGATTCCTGAAGGGAAACTCTGTTACAGTTGCAGACATTGCACAAGGGCAAAGGAATATAATAAAGATAGTGGTAAATAAAGAAGTACATACATTTCAGAGTTAAAATATAAGGAGTGTGGATATGTACAATATTTACATAGTTAAAGGAATTGATATGGTGAACAGTAATAAGGAATAAATAGTAGCAGCGGAGTATTGCACTATAATTTAAGCAGGTGTTATTGCAGCAAACAGATAATATTGTCCAACTAACTAAGTATCCATGTGTCAGACACTTAGAGGGAGGAGTTATAAAGTTTGATGGCCACAGGCAGGAATGACTTCCTGGCATGCAACGAGAAACAGGATAGCACTGGCCACCACAGACTCATAAAACATCCTCAGCATCGTCCTGCAGATGTTGAAGGACCTCAGCCTCCTCAGAAAATAGAGATGGCTCTGGCCCTTCCTGTAGAGGGCTTGAGAGTTCTTGGCCCAGTCCAGTTTATTGTCCAAGTGCACTCCCAGGTATTTGTAATCCTCCACGATGTCCACAGGGACCCCCTGGATGGAAACAGGGATCACTGGTGCCTTGGCTCTCCTTAGATCCATGACCAGAATATAATGAATTTGCCTCGGATGGATCAAATTAAGTTGGCCAGATTAAGACTGGGACATTGCGGGCTGGCAAGTGGACTGTTTCTGGTGGGGAAACACAGGGACGGCAAGTGTCAAGAATGTGGAGTAGAGGAGTCGGTCAAACATATCATCATGCACTGTCCGAGATATGCTGAGGAAAGGAGTCTTTTATTCATGGGTCTAAACGATCTGGGAGTTGAACTACTATCTTTAAAAACTCTGATGGGTGAAGGTCCTAATCAAAAAGAGAGAGCATTGGAGCTAATTCAATCAACATCACCTATTCTGCTGGAAAGGGACAGAAGAAGAAGAGAATGGAGAGTAGATGAATTAACAGTATGAATCCACGTATATGGTGATTATGCAAAGAAACTCCCGCACACTGTCTAACTTAGAAAGTATATTTATATGCTGGCAACGTTCAGACAATGAGTATGCAGAGCATAACAACATAAACATTAGGTTATATATACAGTTGGTTAATGTACAGTGACATTATTAAACAGTGTAGGGATTAGGTCTGCAATAATATGGTCACTACCTAAGTTAGATTCCTATTTTTTGCAAGAAATATATGCAAAATTCTTCATCTGCCCAGAAACACAAAGGTCCTTTTCAGGGCCACCCACTGCTTCAACAAAGAGCTCTTTTCCTGTTTAATAACCCAGTTTATACACTGGGCAACGTCATAATGTTCTTTATCCTCTACAACTGAACTTTCTCAGTGTGACTTAAATTATTCTAAACATTTTCCAATTAAATTTAGTTACTTTTCATTCAGCAATTTAGCAATAGCCAAGTTTTTTGTCTTCTTGTTGCACTGGACATAAATAAAATTCCTGCATCAATAAAAAGCTGCATCAAGGTTTCCCCGACCTGAAAATAACTGATTGAGTTGACCATTAAAGCTGTGTTTCATGTGTATCAAGTGTACATTCTCTGTTATATTGCATTTGGTTCTTTACCAAGTGTAGTTTGTGTGTAATTTATGGTGCTACAAATTACTAAATCATGTAATGCTAATGGAGTTTTGGTCTTCTCTCTACTTTTATTTACTTATTTGCTTGAAGTTGTCCTTGATATCTCTGATACAATAATGTCATGGCCTATAGGTCGGTCAGTGAAATTCCATATTTTAGAAGTTATAGTTGTACTATATTCATTAACACGAATAAATGTAACAACACTCGATGTCACTTCAAGATCCAGGTCCTGTGCCATCATTCTGGAGGAACTTCATTTTGGTTTTTATCCACTAGATGGCGCCATTGCCCAGGTCAAAAAGTAGTATGCTTTAGTGTCTTAGAAATATGCATTAAGTAAACAAAAGTCATTACAAGTATACTTTTAATTTTTGTGCTTAATTTAAAGTACCTTTAACATGTACTTTTTAAAAGAGAAATAGATGTCATTAAGTTCAACTTCAATGTACTAAAAATAAAAAAACTAATTTTATAATACTTAAAGCGGTATTTCAGTGTATTTATAAAAAGTGTACTTTATTGTAAGTGTATTTTAAGTTGTACATAAGTGTTTTATTAAAAAACAGCACTAAATTTCAAATACTTAAAGTGGTAATTTAGTGTATCCTTTTGTAAGTAAATTAGTATGCTTCACCAAAATATGTTTTGATTTCACTTAATCAGACGTATATTATACTCACCAAAAATGCACTTAAATGTTAATTCATTTTAAACTCCATTTAAGTGTACTTTATAAAAATATACTAAATTGCAAATACTTGCAGTGGTAATATTCTGTACTTCAAGTCATTTGTAATACACTATTAGTAAGCTTTATTAAAGTGTGCTTTCATTTCACTTTTTTTAAAAGTCGACTGTAACGACTGTCGTCACAGCAACAAGGAACACTAACGAACCAGCGGTATCGATGACCCGGGCCAACGACCCCACTGAGGTTAAATAGCTGAGTTTCCCTGCCAGTCAGTCAGAACTGAAGAAGTCCTTTGGATGAGGGACGAAACGTCTTCCAGTATCTTCAACCAAGTCCAGTTGCCCTTGATTTTAACCTTCGTTGGATATTTAAGTATACTTTCAAAAAGTGAAATTCAATATTAGTTTATTTAAAGTGATATTTAAGTTTGTTTTTTTTAAGTGTGCTGTATTGCAAATACTTTAATTTAGTGTACTTGTGAAATTAATTTAGCTAAAAGTCTATTGTAGTATACTTACATGAAGAGTACTTTTTGAAGTGTCCTTTAGTTCACTTCAAAAGCATGTACTAAATCTCAAATACTTGTTGTTCTAGTATACATATAATAACTGTACTTTATAGGCATGATATTTGCATATCATGTTTATTAGTACATTTATACTATGGTTACTTTAATGGAGTGCTTTAAAAGTTGCAATTCAAAGAACTTTGTTTCCACCACTGGGATCTGTATACGTATGGACTGTTACATATAAATGCACAAAGACTTGCTTGACAGAAAGATCATTTTATGTATGTCAGGTTCAAAACAGTTCTTAAAAGTCGTGGTACATCCCACTCAACATTACAGTGTAGGTGCAATGTACTTTACAAGTCAATCTACCAGGGATTTTTACATTAAAAGTATCATCTGGTACCACATTTTATCACTTCAACCCTATTAGTTACAAATTTCAGGACTGGTTGGCAGTTCTTTGGGAAAGTTAAGGCCTTCCTTGATGCTCAAATCAGTCTCGCTCATTGTTGTTTGGTAGAGGAATAACATATACCTTCTCTCTTGACGTAATCATGACACATTTGCATGTCAGTGACTCTGGATGTATGTCATACACTTTGTTGCACTCAGACACTTCATACATAAAGCTTGATGCAATGTTAAGTACTGTGTCTCTGCACAGCTTCCTTCCAGACTTCAAAAGTTCCTTGACCAAAACACAGTGCATTACGCCAGAAACTACCAAGCTCAGAATTTTGATTAGTGTTCCGTTCTGCAACTCTACAATTGAGTTTGAGTTGAGTCTTTTCTGAAGGCGGCTGCTGGTGTAAAAGTGATAGAGTATTCCATTCACAACAAAACAGTTGTAGCAGCAGGCTTGTCTCACTCTGACACCTGGTAGTTCCTCTATTGCAAGCATGTGTAACACAGAGACATCTGTCTGTACTGATTTACCAAAAACTCTGACATGGGCACTGATTTGAACTGATTTGTCAGTTGAAGACTTGCTGCCCTGTAGTTCAGAGAAAAGATCTTCAACATTTCACATTAGCATTTCACATTATGGTGGCTCCTTTCTTTGTGACACTCCTCCCCCTAAGGTACCTCTTCATTATCTGGAAAGGGCCACGAGTTATTGCATTGAAATATTTCAATATGGTACCATTAAAAGATTCAAAGGAAAATGTGGATGTGGCCCACAGAGGTCCCCAGTTCTTCACACTTGCAGCCAAGTGCGTCATTAGATGCACATTAAATGAAACATTAGCTGTGCCATATAACCCCTCAAATTCTCTGACAAATTTTTCCAATGCCTGCTCAGCTATCGCTATGTCGCTCTCTCTGATCCTGTCTTGCAGGAGGTGATACACTGCAAAAAACAAAAGGAAAAGGTGGTTCCAGTATTTTTCAAAACAGGCAAAGCACAGAATAAAAGAAACGACCTCCACTCAGACGCCTTCCAGAATTTCCTTTCTTTGATAGATCGCGGTACTCTTGTGATCTCTGTAGGGGGCAAGATTGCTTTGAGTTCCTTGTCGATCAGCTCAGTTTTAGTGCCTATGTACCACCCATTTTCATGGTTTGTGGAATCCAGCCACAGGGTTGCCAGCTGTCTTGTAACACCAAGACATACACTATGCTGGTATTCAGGAACAAAGCCATGGACCATTTGAAAATTGTCTAATTTCATGAGTTGACTTGGGGCCTTACACCCCCCATGGCATGCTGCTGAGGTGTTGCGTTCATTGCATTGTCGAAATGCTCAGCTTCCATATAAAGACAGGGCTCAGGGCTAACATATGCGTAAGGACCCCCACCTCTTTGATAACAGAAGTCACAACCATAAAGTCCATTAAACTGCTTCGTATTTCTGATACTGATTCGTATTGCTGATTCAGTTGCCAAGAAGTGGCTTGGCAACTGAATCAGAACTACATACAAGGGCATGCACCTTCGAACTGCAACCATCTGCTCAGGTGATGCCATGAGTTTGAAGTTGCTGAAGTTCTTTTACAAATGGAATAAGGAGAGTCTGGATGTTGGGCTTGCCCTCTCTGAACTAAAGGCAAGGAACACAGATGTTGTTCTTCCGGTCTACAGGTTGTAGCTCAATGATCTGACACTGAATAGGCCACATTTAGCACTTGGAGCTGTCATTTTCACCAAGCTCACCACTATCTTTGAGCTTCCTATATTCTCCTCCATATTGTATATCACAGATGAAACCTGGAGCTGATATATGTCTTGAGATTTTTATATTGGGGTTTTCGAGAATTTCTTTTATCTGCGAGGATAAACTGACAACTAAAAAATATGAACCCTTTTTTAAGTTAATGTTCACATCAAATTCCGATTGACACAAGGCACGCTGTGTCAATCCACATTCCATTGTTCCAATATAGTTAGAACATTGACGGCAGTAAAAATGGGGCTCATACTCTCCACATTTCCCATATGATTTATGGAAGAGATATGAGATGGCTGGCATGAGTCTGGGAAAATGTTCATTAAAAATCTGTAGTGGATGGTCCAGAGCAATCCCGGTCAGGTTATGCCTCAGGACGTAGGACATCAGAAGGAGTAGACGGTGCATGGGCATTTTGTGAATATTAGCACAAATATGACCTGTATTTGTGTTTACTATTGGATTTGACAAGCAATTATCTGTGCTAATTTATTTCTTGTCAGGTTTGTAAACATGTAAAAACGCCCCATATCAAAATCACACTGAACATACAGTGGACTAAATCTAATACATGATGAAAGAAATAGTTTGAATATATTTGGATTCTTTACTAAATACAATGACTAAACATAAAATATCCTTGTTTGCATAAGTGTGTGAACCCTTGGGTTACAGCAGCTGCTGGTGCCTATGACTTTTGGCAACTAAACCTTTTCAATGATAGATTAAAATAACAAAACTGCTGCTAATTTTTTATTACTTTTCATGAGAATATAGTAAGACTGGTGTAAACATAACTCTTTAAAAAAAAAATGTATCCTTTATTTAATTGCCCAATGATTATTTTTGTAGCCTACTGAGAGAAAATTTTAATATTCAGTGACAAAGTGGTCTTACAATGAAGTGATTATTTTCACATTTATCAAGCCTAGGGTTGTCAACACTCACAAAGACGGACTGTCAATGTAAGCTCACCTCGGAAGGATTTGGGTTGGGTCTCTCTGACCCCTGTACATGCACTGTCTGGTGTCCTCCACAGCAGCATCTCCAGCAGCTGACTCATTCTGAAGTTGGGACAAAGTGTATAGCAAGTCAGTCACTGAATCTAAAGCGCACATTAAAATAAATGAGTTCTACCATTAACCAGTACTCAGGTAGGGCACCCAGGGTTCAATGTTAAAATCTTTATCATGTCAGAAAGTCTATTATCTATTTGCCCCAACACATTTTTTATTGTCCATCTCCAGCAGCTGACTCATTCTGAAGTTGGGACAAAGTGTAAAACAAGTCAGTAACTTCAAACAGTAGTATTATTCAGTTAACTATTACCGAAGTACTGTGGTTATTTTCATATTGAGTCTGATCTTAAAATTATCTGATAAAAAACATTTAAAAAATTTAAATTGATTTAATTTTAACACTGGCCTGATTGTGACAGTGTAGCTCTGATTACTTCTCCAGCTTTTTACTAAGACCACTGTTGTTGTTGAGATGTGATTATCTACTGTATCTGGGACAATCTCATCCTACCTGTGATGGATTTCTGTTACATCTGTTTGCCCCCTGCCCCAGCTCAGCCTGGTATTCTCCAAAATCTTCAGCACCTGCTCTAGCTGTCCCATTCTGAAATTTGGACAATGTATGTAGCCAAGAATTCATATGTTAATGCTGGACTGTGTACACTACTTCCACATATTGGACACCCACAATGAAGAAATGGGTTATTACTTGGAATGTTACTGGTTAGTTCATTGGTTTAACTCATAGACTAGTCCCGACTATTGAGGCCTACAGGACTTCCACATCAGTGCTGTTAAGATACTGCTTGTACAGCTTACGTCCTCTGCCTTTTGTCTGAAATATAAGAATTCCAAGACAGAATATTATTATTATTGTATCCCATAACATACTGCCCAGCAAATTTATTAACTAGCATTATTTTAAAAAAAAATCTAAATTACTAGTAAAACCGTCAACATGTTCTTTTTCAATAAGGAACACTTCTCACGCTGCGCCAGAAATTAGTGTAGGAGGAACAATGATTCAAAAAGCAGAGTCTGTTAAGTATTTAGGCGTAGTGTTGGATAGGACACTGTCGTTTAAAAAGCATGCTTCAAAATTGATAAAAAATGTATCGCAGTTCAGATATATTCGCCCCCAAATGAGCACAGACGCAGCCTAGCTCTATATGAATGCAATGATATTTTCACATTTTACATACTGTATCACAACTTGGTCTCTATCAACCAATTCTATGTTACAACCACTTCAAAGCTTGTATAAACAGGCACTGAAAATTTTAGATAAAAAAACATTTTCATAGTTCATAGTTTCACCAGTTTCATATCGCTACTGTAATATTGTGAAGAAATATAGATTATTGACTTTTGAAAATTTTGTTTTGTTTTCAAGTGTCAATTTAGTATACAAAATTCTCTGTGAAAGCTGTGGCGATGTGGAACGTGTTGCCATTAACTGTTGGTGAGAGTAATACCTTGCAACCGTTTAAACTCAATCTGAAGAAGTGGTTCAAAGCCGGACAGATTTGCGAACATTAACACATATCTGGTTAATTAGTGTAAGAAAAGGGGAAAGAGAAAAGGAGAAAAAAATATAAAATAAAAAAATTAGAATTGAAATTTATTGTAAATGTAGTAAATTTTTTTTTTATTATTATTTATTTTAATTTTATTACTAGTAAGAATGCTCTTTGTCCACTGTATAAACCTGCTGTCATTTTGCTTCTGCCCAGGGACTACAGATGAAAATTAGCTTGAAGCTATCTCTGTCTTGTGTAACATATTTGTTGTGCAATGTCCCTGTCAAATAAATAAATGGGAATGGAACTACATAGCATAGTTATTACCTTTGTGTGTCTATATTCTGTTGATCTTGCTTTTTTTCTGTTACTGATGTCCAATAAGTAGAACTTGTACTTTAACATCCAGTCATAACGTAGTTGTTCTGCACGGCCCTGCTGTACCTCTTGAATATAATTTCTTTGTACATCTTTTTAAAATATGTGTGGACATTGCTATAATTAATCATTTTGTTTGTTCCATAAGACAGATAAACAAACTTTTCCTGTTTGTCTGAAAACTAGCAGTCTTAAAATCAGAATTTCCCCTTAAGTTGTAACCCCCCCTTTCAGAGAACCTTTTCTGTATATTACCAGGCAATCAATTGTTTCTAGCCTTGAACAATATTAAGGCTGTTTGAAATTCAACTAGATCGAACAGTTTTGATGTTTTACATTGTGTAAATAATGAATATTCAAAAATCCACTGTTATGAATTCTTCTCACTGCTAAATAAAAGGTTGCAATGAATTTAAACATTTTCCCATATACTTCTAGGCAGTTTTGTTTGGATATGTTTTATGTGAAGTTTCCAGCAGATCCTGTCCTCTCACTAAGGAATTTCTATACGTGTTCACATCTTCCATCTGTAACTGAGCCTGATTGATTAGTTAACATTTGCCAAGTATGAAATCCGTGTATTTTCCTCTACAAATAAAAAATAATTCAGTAGCTCAGGCCATGTTATTTATGTTGGGGATGAATAAATGCTTTATTAGCAGGCATTAGTATTAAATTAAATTAGTAGCCCAATCGTCATAAGAGAATAGTGTTCTACAGCAGCAGGAGAGGAGAGGCTCTTTAGTTAAAAGTGAGGTGGCTCTTAAAAGAGCCTTTGTGTTGTTGTAGAGGTGGTTTGTGAGTTTAAGCCCTCTCTCCGCGGATGCGTCGGGCCAGCTGGATGTCTTTGGGCATGATGGTGACCCTCTTGGCGTGGATGGCGCACAGGTTGGTGTCCTCGAAGAGGCCGACCAGGTAAGCCTCGCTGGCCTCCTGCAGAGCCATGACGGCGGAGCTCTGGAAGCGCAGGTCGGTCTTGAAGTCCTGAGCGATCTCCCTCACCAGGCGCTGGAAGGGCAGCTTGCGGATCAGCAGCTCGGTGGACTTCTGGTAGCGGCGGATCTCTCTCAGAGCCACGGTACCGGGCCTGTAGCGGTGGGGCTTCTTCACTCCGCCGGTGGCCGGGGCGCTCTTGCGGGCAGCCTTGGTGGCCAGCTGCTTCCTGGGAGCTTTTCCTCCGGTGGACTTACGGGCGGTCTGCTTGGTTCTTGCCATGATCTCTCTGTCTCTGAACAAGAGAAAGTGAGGGAAAGCGGACAGACTCGCTGCTCTTAAAGTGCGGGAGCGGCTGTGAGACGGTGACGCTGCTTCAGAGCTCCGGCTCCTGATTGGTGAGGGGCCCCTCCTGGCGCCCAGCACCGCCTAGAGGAGCGACGCACCGCCTGAATCTGCGCTGCTTATTGGCGGAAAATCAGCTCGAAATGTCCGCCATAATGCAGAGGGGCCGCCCTCTGCTGCTCTGCAGGAGGCCCCTTTTCTGGTTGGTCTGGCAGAACCGTCCCCGCTCCGCGGACATATAAAGGAGGGCTTTGCCAGTCGGGGCCACAATTTCTCTGAGTCTCGACTTTAGAAAACAGATCTAACCATGAGTGGAAGAGGTAAAACCGGCGGAAAAGCCAGAGCAAAGGCAAAGACCCGCTCCTCCCGTGCCGGGCTCCAGTTCCCCGTCGGCCGTGTCCACAGGCTCCTTCGTAAAGGGAACTATGCTCAGCGTGTCGGCGCCGGGGCCCCCGTCTACCTGGCGGCGGTGCTGGAGTACCTGACCGCTGAGATCCTGGAGCTGGCCGGCAACGCTGCCCGCGACAACAAGAAGACCAGGATCATCCCCCGTCACCTGCAGCTGGCCGTCCGCAACGACGAGGAGCTCAACAAGCTGCTGGGCGGAGTCACCATCGCTCAGGGCGGCGTGCTGCCCAACATCCAGGCGGTCCTGCTGCCCAAGAAGACCGAGAAGCCCGCCAAGAAGTAAATCTGGAGACTAACTGCTGACCCACAGCCCCAAAAGGCTCTTTTAAGAGCCACACACTCCTGATAAGAGCACTGTTCCCCATTTCTGACAACTATATTTAAAAAGTAAACTGAAACTAACTACTAAAATATGAAACTACATGGATACAAAAATATAGTTGAACTAGACTATTAATAAGCAGGTTCTCCAGCCTAAATATTTATGGAGATATTTATAAAGTGTGTTCAATGCTGATAGACAAAGTAAAGGGTTGTGAATGTAGTAGTACAACAGTTTGACACATTCAACACTGTCTGTAGGCTACTCATTATTGCCACTATTGGGGACAGAGTGACGTGGGAGAGAGAGAGCAGTCACTTTCTTTATTCTCAGTGTCTAGCAGGGGTGTTTTTAGGATCTTGAAACATTGGGCGCTTAGTCCAGCCCATAAAACTTCATATCTTCATCTTTAAGAACATTTTGATATTTTATGACCTTGTAACTGATTATCTATTCCCATCTTAAATGTGCAATTGTATTACTGCCTGCCTTGGCCAGGACACTCCTGGAAAATATTTTTTCTGGTTTAATAAAGATATAATAAAACAACAAAAAACAATTTGCAGCAGTGAGGACAAGAATCGTGGGGCAACTAAGAGTTTGCAGCAGTGAGGTAATACTTTACTCTATCTTTCCTACTCTTGAGGTGCTATTTCTTACTGAGCAATCCACTAGAATCTGAAGGCCGGCTGAGCGAGATCAAACAACTGGGTGTGTGTCCCACTCACTGAAACCAAGCGTTTGTCTTGTTAATCCGGAGGGCGATCCAAAGCATTTAACAGAGTACTTGCACTCCTGTTGTACACTTTTACTGAGCAATCCACTAGAAATAAATGTGCATGTACCACGAATCGTCCTTTTTAAATCTCCATGAAGGTGTTGATAAGATCACTTTAAAGTATCACTTTTGCTGCCCAGCCAACTTTTGTTGCCTGTGCCTTTTATTATGGAGATGCAGCCAACCAAACCCTTGCTTTGCAGCAGCACAGGCAGCCAAAATCTGATTATTCCTGAAGCATCTAAATAATCTTCACAACTCAAAGAATTATTGTGGCAGTAACACGGAGCAGCTCCTCGTTGAGGCAGGGAAAACCTACATACAGAGGAAGCTGTGAGTCATGCCTAAAACCCAACAGGACTGTTTTATCACCAGATTCTCTCTCTCTCTCTCTCTCTGTGCATCTCAAAAATAAATAAGAGCTGGTAGCTGCTGAGTGAAAGATTTGTTTCACCTGCGACATTCTGTTTATGGACTCACCGTCGCTATAAAACAAACAGTAACCGATGTGTTTTAAAGAAAAGAAACAGGCTTATGTCCAAAGCAGGACAGGACACTTTTAATATATCTCAATCAATGCAGTGATCGTCTGACATAGATCTTACAGTGTGTAGTCTTCATTTGCTCTGCAGAGACTAAAGGCGCTTTTAATGCGCCGTTAATGGAAAGTGAAAGTATTTATTTGCCGGCTTGTTAAAGAGCGACGCAGGCTGCTTTCCAACACGGTCACCAGTGCCATTGTGAGCGCTCACTAGATTTCAGTTGTATTAGTAGAACAATAAAGCCTTAAACTGAAAAGGTATTTGCCTGATTTTCTAAATGTTTGCATCCGCCCAGCTCTGTGACTGTGACAAGCGCCCGACCACTTTACTGCGTAACTGCGCACACAGATCACAGCTCATTTCGGTTAATGAAGTAATACAGATTACAAATTGGTTAAGTTATAAAAGGTAGGCTATGAATGGAAAATGTAGCGAAATTAAGAGTAGGTCTACATTAGATATACCCATCCCTGCTGCAGCTAGAAGTAACAACAGAGTGAAAGACTTGGTAGACCAGACTCTGTTGTTTGTTCAGCTGTGTTGTCCTTGTTCTGAGCTGTTCTGTTACAAATGTCTGTCTCTCTTTCTCAAAAACAAAATCAAACTCAGAAGGAAAGCTGCATCAAACATGTAGACCTAAAAACCCCATTAACTTTTTTATTTGTTTATTTCATTTATTTCCCGCTTAATCTCTCGTTCCACACTCCAGTCCAGCTTGTGGCGGTAATGCACCGTTAAACTGGTTTGCCAACCGCCATTAAACCCTGAAGAAGAAGAAGAAGAAGAAGGAAAGCTGCTCTGTGTGGGCGGAGTCAAAGGTCTGCCTGCAGAAAGTTTGGCACCGCCCAGTGAAACTAACTAACTCTGTTACGTCCGCAGATAAGATGTAAATACCAAACGCAGCCTTCAGACAGCAGACTCGACGCAGTCATCTGAAGAAGAAAACCCGCATAATGAGTGGAAGAGGCAAGGGAGGAAAAGGTCTGGGGAAAGGAGGCGCTAAGCGTCACCGCAAAGTGCTCCGTGATAACATCCAGGGCATCACCAAACCCGCCATCCGCCGTCTGGCCCGCCGCGGCGGAGTCAAGCGGATCTCCGGTCTGATCTACGAGGAGACCCGCGGGGTGCTCAAGGTCTTCCTGGAGAACGTGATCCGCGATGCCGTCACCTACACCGAGCACGCCAAGAGGAAGACCGTCACCGCCATGGACGTGGTGTACGCTCTGAAGAGGCAGGGCCGCACCCTGTACGGCTTCGGAGGCTAAACCTGATCCTGACCCGCTGATCCTCAAACACAAAGGTCCTTTTAAGGGCCACACACTTCATCTAAGAGCTAATCCTAAAAAAGCTGTTATGTGTTGACCGGACCCCTTTCATAACCACTAGTTTAAATGTTAGCAGGGTACATGGTCCTAAAATACTCCTCCAGTCTAGTAAACTTACCAGAAATGCACTTGATGCTAAAACAGGTGCTGGTGTAAATGTCCACCATTTAAATTTAATACCACTATGACAAAAGTAGGTAAACCTACACTGTCCCAAAAGAAGTTATAGAATTGAACTAATCTTTTGTTCATTTGAACAAGGCTGGTTATTGCAGCGCTGCAGTCCTCTGGTGGGCAAAACAAACAAAACGGCACAGTTCTCAAACACAGAAGGCTGCCTGGCTTGCTTTAATTGACGAAGTATAATGCACAAATCCACCTCTTGATCTTTCTCTGTCATGATTCTATGGAGCCACAACCAAATTCAAACCATGTAAAAACCACAGAAATATGTTGTCAATGTTCAATTAAGCCACTACTCTGGCTAAATCCTTCCATTTTCACAATCTTTCCTGAGTATACAACCAGACCAGCCATATAGCCTATGTATATAATAATTGCTATCTTTATATCTCTAAAATGCTCATGCCCCTATCTATGAGTAAAATCTGTATGTTAACATCAGACTTGCGGGGAATACATTGAAGCAATAAGCTTGACACACTAGATGAATAAAACCCACTCTTATTAAAATTTAACAAATCAAATAATAATCTGGATAAAGGCTCCAAGTTCTTAAAAGAACTCCAGCACAGAGAGAGGAACAGAGAAATAAACGCATGTAAACGCAGCAGTTTGGCAGGTCTCCCTTGTACATAGTAGAAAGTAACTGATGACACCTCTTAACAGAATATCATACGTACTGTATTGATACTCTGTTAGTGCAAAGATTACGTTATGGGCCAAATTTTGAATCGTTACCTCTACAGATATGATCAATATTAAAGTATTAAAGCCCACCAAGCTGTTTCAGGAACATATTTGGACTTGTGATTTTGATCAGTGTTGAACCATAACAAAGTTTTCTCATTAAGTACTTGTACTTTACTTAATTCTTTGCTTTTAATCCCACTTTATACTCAACTACATATTAGGGGGGATATTGTATTGTACTTTTTACTTCACTAATTATTTGAAATATTTTAGTTACATGATATATTAAGATTACATGTGATGTCCTGATAAAACGTTTTTTGTTATATTTTAAACTACCCAACAGTTTATACAAGTAGGGGAGACACAGCTGTATTGTAATTGTAACATTCTTTACAATTTCCTTCACAGACTAGGCCTACTTGAAATACACTTGGTCTCGAGACGGGTCTTAAGACCACTTTTTGATGGTCTTGGTCTTATTTGTACTCGGTCTTGGTCTCGGACATTGAGGACTCAGGATTTTATTTCAAGACCAGTAAAGACCATATCAATAAATTGCTTTTGCATTGTCTGATTTATTTGTTAACGTCCTAACTTTGATTGGATGTAAAACTTGTTGCTTGAAATGCAACCAATAACCCTAATTAAAAATGTGTTGTTACCTTTAACGGCTGTCACCCCTCCCTGCACCCCTTCACACGCACTCCAAGAAAAGTGAATGGGGGAGACAGGAGGAGATGTGGCTGTCTGGGAGGAGCAGGAGGACAGGTCAGCAAAATCTTCGTAATAACATTTAGAAAGAATGAATCTGTCAAACAGGGTCCAGGAGAAAACACACAGCAATCTGAAAACTCTGCAGTGCAACCTTACAGAGACGTCTGGACCACGTTATTAACTTTTACTGCCACTTAGATAGAAAGCATAAAGAAAAGTATACCATGTCTTTTTGATGTTAGCAGAGCTAGCAAACTTACGTATGTTAGGCTACTGTATGTTATAGCCATTCATTTCAGTTGCTTGCTATGGTTGCCTGCTAGTTATTTGCCACCTAGCCAGGTGCACAAGCTACCTAATTTAATTAACATTTTGAGGGAAGTAGCTAAGTTTATTAGAGACATGTGGTAACAGCTTGTATTATGTTGTACATCAGTAATGATAATTATAGTGATGCAACACGTGTTTAATAAATATTTGATTTGATTAATCTGAATCACCCTCCACAGTCTCATCCCCATTTTCTTTTGAGTACTTCTTTCCTTTTGTCTTTACCATTTTCTCCTTTTCTGCAAAATGCCTTTGTTTTACTTTGGACAAGGATGCCTTCTCCTGCTCTTCCTCAAGGGAATTCCTGACTGGTGTGTCTGTACGAATTTCAGCGGTTCTCCTTTTTCTGGTCTTAGTTGTCTTTTGGGGCTCTACTTTTGGGAAAGGGCTCACAAAGATAGGCTAAAAGTCCTCAATGATCAAGGAAGCTTTTCCTGCAGCAGGCACGCTGGAAGCAATGGAAGGTGGCCCAATGACAGGCACAGCGAAAGTGCTGGAGAAAATTGTGTTTTTGAAAAACCTCTGCCAGATTGTTAAAACAAACTTGGACATGAGCTATGGCTTGTGGCTGTCTCAGGGAAAGGTGCCTTGTCTGGAAACCATGTAAGCAATCAGCCCCTGCCACTCCATGCTCATCTCACAACTCAGGGTGCTTGCAGTTGTGAGCCTTTGCCAGGTCATAGGCAAATTTACGAACCTACATTAAAGCATTTTTGTAAATTAAAAAAATATGAAAATGCTGGATATATATATGGACATTCTACACAAATATTCATGAAACATAACAAATTCAGCAATCTATTACTTCTTTGGGCCATAACCATAAAAGTAAGCAGCCTGACGAGCTACTCCGACAACATGGTGTCCTGCTCTGAGTAATAACAATAATCGAATGATATGATATATAATAGCATAACAGTCAAATTTTTTCTGCTAAGTACTTTTACTTGTAATACTTTAAGTAAGCTTGTGTACTTTTACTCAAGCAGTTGTGGACAGTAATTAAGTACATACTAAGTAAGTATTTACTCAAGCACTGTACTTAAGTACAAATTTGAGGTACTTGTACTTCACTTGAGTATTTTCTTTTGTGACAACCTCGTGGTTGTCTGTGTTGTGCTGGTTCGGTGTGTTTGTGTGTGCTCCAGTGCGTCTGCAGGCGGAGCCAAGGCCATGGTCGTCGAGATGTTAAGCACATGTTCGGCCTGGCTTACATGCATTTACGATAAGACACAACTTTATTAATCCCCTGTAGGGGAAATTTTGGTTGACATAGCAGCACAGAGGAATGTAAAAGAACTCTGCTCTCATAATCTATACTCACTCAATCTGAAGTTACAGTATGTAACTATTGTTGCCCTTGATATCTCTAAAACAATAATAAAGCATCATGTCATGGCCAATATGAAAAGAAAATAAATCTGGGGGTGTGGTGTTAGAAAGAAGAGAGCTTATCAGACTTCTGTAGCCTGATCCTCATCTCTGCTGCAGGCTAGCAGCTCAAGGCTATGACTAGCCTAACACTCTGCTTCTGATCCATTGATATTATTCCTTTGTGAGCCTAACATTGTTATAGGAGAAAAAAGCTGGTGCAACATGACTGAACACATCCCAGTGTACTGCATACTTACTACTATGGTGCAATGGCCTCCCTGGGGTGAATGTCTGTAACCAACACAGAACGTCAGGGTGGAACAGTGCCAGGCTCCTAACACTGGGTCACAGTTTTACTGTTTTTATTTCATCATAGGTCAAATTCCAGTTTCCTCTGGCCTCTTCTTTAAACTCACCCTAACAGTGCCAATGCACTCTCTCTAAGCACCACACAAAACTGGCTACACCGTGTTGAAGGTCAATCAATGATTACATTAAAGTCACAAGCATCACATCCATTTAAAACCACTATAAAGTATGTAGCTGCATACAATGGGATTAGATCTCTAACCCAGTGGTTCCCTGGTTTGCTTTTTTAAACCAAGTCACACCTTCACGATGTTTTTTGACGTTCCAGTGCGTTTTTATTGTTTGGTGTAACTGCCATAGTGTACCACAAAAAAGTAAGCCAGCTTCTAGAAAATGTATGTAAGTTATTTCATTGTCTCAAACTGTGTTGAGGGATGAGATGCAGTTTTTCAGAGAAATTGTGTGTGTGTGTGTGTGTGTGTGTGTGTGTGTGTGTGTGTGTGGTGGGAATGAGTTATTCAAACAGATTTTGCAGCAGCAGCAGCAGGTGGACTTTGTGCCAGGCTTCCGTGTCCAGCAGACAGCGTGTCCAGCTCTCAGCAGGAAGATGAGCTCCACCAAGGTACCAGTTTGTCTGTCTAATTGTGTCTTAATTTGTTTTTTGGTTAAAGTTGTTGGTTTCTTTCTGTTACAGATATGTTTTGTTTTTGTGAATGTGTTGGCTCTGTCGGTAACCCGTTTGGTTGAAGCAGGCCGAGTGGAATTGGTGAGTGAACTGACCCTTCACCTTAAACGCAACTCTTTATACTTGCTTAACATAACCAAATCTCCTGACTCTCTCAACAGGTCCCCCGTCAGACAGCAGCCACACAACAGGGTTGGTAGTGTGTGTGATAGCACATGCATGATAATGTAACTGTCCATAATAATAATATTTAATGTATGAATTTATGCACGTTATGTGAACACCTAGGTAGAAACACATTCAAATGAAGATTTTATTTGTTGTTAGACGTGCCAATTGGAATTCACATTAACTGGCTAAGTGATGCGGTCTTTTAACATTTGATTGAGACATGAATCTGTGTCCCAGGGGGCGCTGTTCTTTTTTACGTTGCCTACCAGGGACAGCTGAGAGAAATCTTGTTTGACCCGATCATCTTCAACCACGTGTTGGTGAACCAGGGCTCCGCTTACAACAATGCCACGGGTGTGTTCACCGCGCCGGTCGCTGGCATCTACCAGTTTGTGTTTGCTGCCCAGCTCTGCCGCGGAGACCACAACAATGCATGGCACTTCATGGTCAACAGGGAAAAGAGGATGATCTGCCATGCTCAGGTACACAAGACTAAACTAGACTAAGACTACAATACTCTTAAATAAAATAAACTCTAAAACTGGAGTTCACTACACTAGTTTACAGTAAACCTAACAAGACAAAGTAAATGAACTAAACTAAACCAGATAAGTATAACTACTTAAGAACTACTTAATTAACTTTTCATTATAATCGTTGAGATTTCAGTCCTGGTTGATTTAGTGACACCCGTGGTGTCTGGCCCTTCTTGTTCCTCCCTTCAACATTTCAAACTGATCTGAAAATGACCATGTCTTGTTTTGTAGGCAAACCTCAGTGTCACAATCTCGCCGATAAATACATGAAGCTGCTTCACAATGAAAGCTGTCCTCTCTTTACACACTTTTAACATGAAGCAGCGTCAGGAATGCAGTCATTAGCTAGTAAGTAGCATTAGCAGTAACGTTAAGACAGCTGTGATGCATCTGTTGGACAGTAACGAGTAAACTGCAACAGCAACGCTGGATTACATGCTGCATTGTTGTTTGTGAATCCCAATTGAAGGCAATTTGAATTCAGGGCAGGAATGGCGGTCATCATTGTCACTAGCGACCAGCTCCTGCAGACGAGAATCAAGTAGATCAAAGTTGGCCAGTCTAGACTCAACAATACACTATTCAAAGACTAAACAACAAATGAACTAGACGAGAAAAGTAGACTAATCCTAAATAAACCCCACTAGACAAGAGTTAACTAAACTAATCTAAAATTGAGTCTGTTAGTTTAAACTAAATGAGAACATGCTTAGGCCATGTAATAACAAATGAGCAAACTCATTCTACTGATGAAGAGTGTGAGATGTGGTCGAAGGCCCCAAAAGTATACTGTGATATCTTTGGATATCAATTATCAGAGGCAGAGATTTCATCTTCATTTGAGGTGGCTTTATTGCAGATAACACCATAGCAACATTACAACATGACTAACAGCCTCTTCTGGCTAGGCCATATACACTCTGCACACTACACTACATAATCCCACTATGCAAACGGAATTAGAAGGCAGAATAGAATGAGTTATAGACCACTTTAGACCAAAAAGTAACAGAACTTAATTCACAGATCATCTTGTAAACCATGGTCATCATCGCTTTTTTGTCACATTCAACAGGCAAAAGCAAACAAGACTAAAGTGATTTAAAGTGTACTAAACATAAGACTAAACAAAACTAAGCACATACTAAACTAAACTAAGGTAAAAAAAAAAAAAAAAAAAAAAAGATCAAACGTAAATTTCAGACAATAAAAAAGACTAATGCTTTCTTTCTCATTCTGAGAGATCTATATTTTTCTAAACTAAACCTAAACTAAACTCTGCACATCCTGGTCATCAGAAACAAAATGTCAGGAAAAGGAGGAAAAATATAATCAAAAGGAACTAGTTTGTTGTCTGTAGAAAAGGCAATGAGGATCTACTGAAAAGACATGAATGATTTTGATATAACCAAACTGCCAGCCAAACTGAGTAACAGAACAATGTGCCTAAAATGCCATTCTCCACTCCTGTCCCCCAGGTGGTTGGGACTGACACAACCCTTAACACCTGCTACACAATGGTGCAACTGAAGAAAGGTGACCAGGTGTGGGTGAGGCAGAAAGAAGGGAGTTGCGCCTGGGCCAGCACTATCTCCAATACCATCACCTTCTCTGGAGTCCTTCTGGCAAGTGAGGGTGTGTCCATGCTGGGAAAGAAGCATGGCTCTGGCAGCTCCTGTCCACTGCCCAGCCTGGGCCGCTACACGCTGTCCAGCTCTGCAGGCCGGAGTGCTAACATGTCTATTGTGGCCATCGCTCTGCTCTCTCCTCTGGGATTAATCCTGGCAAAGTTATAGATACCTATAATACAGTATATGTGCGAAAGCCTTTATTTTATTCTGATTTATATTTTTAAGTGTTGACTTGCTGGAAACCATCAAACTTACAGCACAGCAGTTTTTCTCATTTGGCTTGAGAGGCTTATGAATTTAAGGGATAATTCTTCACTTATGAGCACAAACTCTTGAATTTGTTGGTCATTTCAACACACTATAGCCTACTTCAAATGTTTGCTGCCCTGACATAATGAAATACTAAGAACTACATAAATGCAATGAAATTTAGTTAGCTTTACAAATATTTGTTCTTGCTATCTTGCTTCTTGGTGATTCTAAGCCTAATGTTCCCTCTACGAGCTCTGTTTTGGTCTCCACCAGCTCCTGAGAATGATATTTCTGCTCTTTAGCTATTTGACTGAGCTAGTTAAATATGAAATTAAAATAGCGTTAGAAACCCTCAAGGTAGTCAATGGATGTAAAGTTGTTAGTGTGATGTAGAGATGGTGCACAGTTAAAATGTTACGAAAATGTTATGAAAGACGCATTTGTGACATGAACAACCACTCTGAAACGTCTTGCTCCAGTCTAGGTTGTGAAGCGGATTTGGGTTGTTCTGTCTGTGTTTAGCCATTGTTGCTGGCTGAAGTGGCTTCGTTTTGGAACAGAACCCGCCCTACTCTGCTTCTGATTGGCTAGTAGTCCTTTTTACTGTGCATGTGCAACAAAGATCGAATAGAAGTGAGATGCTTCACTTAGTAGCTGAAACGGAGCGTGCAAGACATGAGGTGCTACAGAAATGTGCAGTATGACAAAATTTGTTGGGGTTTTGTGAAAATGAAACCATGTAAAATATGTACATAATAATTTTAATTACTTTAACTATACTATCTGTGTGTATACTTGAATTAATTGCTTTTTGGCCATTGTTCCGTATAACACGGATTCGTCTGTAGTTGGAAACAAATAGACGCGTTGGGTATTGAACTGATATGATATGCGCTTTTCAATAATTTCACTGCAAATTTATGTGAGAGAAATATTACAGCTTAGACTATTAAGGCAGGGTGAGTTTTACAGAGAACAGAACAGAGAATGTAATTGGGCGCCGTGAGTCACAACCAATGAAAAGCGTGAGTGATACCGTTGCTACGATGCGCCTGACAGCTCTCTCTCTTGTTGACTGTCCCTTCACTTCCCTCTCATTTCCCTTCTGTTTGTGGATAGCTACATGCCTCACCCACTGTAATTTTCATTCCAGGAAGTTGGCACATGAGGATAATATCTGTCTCTTTAGCTGCAAAATGCTTCACAGCGTTCACCAGCTTGTTGCTCACTTTGTCTCTGTTGTTTGGTGCTGGGGAGGTAATACACAGTGGGGTTACCAAAGCTTTTTTTTGCTCAAAATAGCTGCCTGTTGCTGGAAACAAAGTTCTACAAAACAGTAAAATAAGGTAATTATACTAAAAAGCTCAGTAGAAAAACAAAATACTGGCTACAACAATGAGCTCAAAAAAGCTAAAATGTAGAGCTGCTGTTGTTAATAACAACCCCTTTAACATATATAAAACATATATTTAAAATAGTCTCATTTAATAATAATATAAAGATATTGATTAATACATGTTTGTGTTTAAAAGCATGATGTTTTGGGTCTCTTACATTATGTATATATATATATATATATCTCACATTTCAGTATATTGATGTTGCATGTGTGTATGTTATTCAAATCTTGGGTTAAATAAAATCAAATTTATGTTGTACCTTTTTGAACTACTTGGCATTTTCTTCACATTTTTGTCATGTAATGTGCATTAGAGCTCACCGCAGACCTGTAGCTGAATTAGTGTCGAGTTCAGTATCCAGCTTATGGGAATAAAATTCAGCAGTGTAACAGTACTGACTGTCCTGCAGATGGAGACACCTTACTGATAATGTCCAAACACCCTGAGCTGAGAATTCATTCATGTGCTCCGCGAATACTCTTAGTAGAAAGATCATGCAATATAATTGCATTGAGACATGACACCTTTTATTGGAGTAAAATATAGAAGGGCTTAGTGCCTTACATATATATTATATGTTTATGTCTGATGTTTACACTTTTTAAATTTGAAGCTTATTTTATATCTCTATTCATCGTTTTTTTTTCCATTGTATTTTTATTTATACATATATTTCATTTTTCTTTTATTGTAGGCATTTGATGGGGACAGCAAAGTAAGAATTTCAGTGTACTGGGAAACTTGAACATCTGACAATAAACACTTTGAATCTTGCTCACTGGAACCTCAGCAGTATGTAAAGGTAAAAATATTCATAGTTCACTCACTTGTCTCATTTCATATCCCACTATTTATAGCTTACGTGAGAGCTGGGGGAAAAAACAACCTAGGTTTTACTGAACAAGTCTTGGACATGCCACCTCTTATCATTGTTGTGTTCAACCTTTTCCAGATTCATTGTATGTATGATTGTATGCCAGTGTTAGCATATTGGTACATAATGTTGCATATTTGTGCATAATGTTAGTTGGTTAACAGTAAATAATTAGGACCTTTTTACCTTTTCCACTCCAGAAGCTCACATAAATAGAGGTTAATAATGTAGCATTTGCCCTCAACACACTGAAACTTACAGTAAGAAAACACATACAAATAGACAAAACAAGCAAATTAAGGAAACATCTTCACAAACTTGACAACACGAATGTTGCAAAGTGAGAAAACACAAGCAAAGACAGAAAAGCTCTGACACGACAGGGACATGCTTGTTGTCGCTATGGCTTGTGACTTATAAAGTTACTGAAGTCGGCTGTGCATAAGTGGTGTTGGAAAATGAGCAACAATGTAATTTTTCGGCAGGGCAGCAAGCATGTCCCAGCCATGTTTATCACTTTTCGGTGTCATCTGTGCTACTTGCAATGTTACTGTGAAAACAAAAGGCACTGATTTTTCTTGTTAGTGCCTAAAGGAAATAAGAAAACAAAAAATCCAATGTCTTTATTGGGTGGGAAAGTCAAAATTTTGTGAAATATGTTCCTGGTGGATATGGCCTTCCATGAGCTACGAACACTGACAGTCTGTGCACTATATTATAGTGTGGTCACACTTTGTTCAGGCTGCTGCAGCAGATCATCCTCAACAGCTGTCGGGTCATATTGTATCTTCAGTTGACACAGAAACAGCAGTTTGTTGCAGTCTGGTGCAGCGCTGGGGGGTTGCTGCTCAGAACCAGGTGTTGTTTGCAAAGGTTGCGGTGAAGTGGAGGACTGCACCTCCGTCGTTTCTCAGCACAGAGAGGTTGCTCTGTGACCACATCCTCTTCTCTGCTGTTGCTCTCAACGCCTCTGCAGGCTTTCATGCCCCGGGTTTGTTCCAGTTCTGAACCTTCTTCTGCTCAGAGATGAGCACGCTGAGTTCCTGTTGTTATGGGCTGTGGTTGACTATAATGTGAACACTTACTTCTTTAACCTAAACCTAAAAGGAATGTGCTTACCGTGATGCGCGCTAAAAAGTATGAATGTTAGAATTCACAATGGTAGATTTAATTGAATGTATCACTGAGATGTCATCAGAGAGATCCTTTCAGTTTTGCTCAGTGGAAAATCTTATTCTCAGCTTAGTCCAAGGAATGGAAACACATGTAAGAAAGAAAAAGTTCAATTCTCAGAAAACAAAGATAAGCATGCTGCTAAAAATACATCCACTGAGTCAGCGGCAGGCAGTGAGTTGATCTCTTCATAAAAGTAATGGAAACTGATGAAACTTACATGTTAACTACCTACATCAAATAGCAACTGTGTGATTGGCACCTGACAGGTGGGAAACTTGGTACATGTTGTATTAGACCTTACACATGCGGCCCACTTTAGACAACTGTTTCAAAGAAATACTGATGCCGTACAGTACATGTCTTCTGAAAAGCTTTTATTGAGAATGAAATTCAACTTGAAGCAGTTCACAAACAAACAGACAGCCAAGTGTCAGTCAACAATGGATATCAAATGATTCACGTGCTTTTAAATCCAGCAAGTTGCTCTTATTTGTGCAGAATGCGATTAGCTGATTTCGCGTTGAAGGCAAAATGCAAATCAACATTCATACCTTTAAATTTTTATTTACAGTTAAAAGGAGAACCAGCTGGTTTGTGCAGCTCAGCAGTCAGTTGTTCTGTTTTCCAGATGACCCCTGTGCAGCAGACAGAGAGGGAATCATTTTCAGTGATTCATCCAAAAAAAAAAAAAACTCTTTTGGGTTTTGTAACACCTACTTCACTTAAGTCCTTTTCAAACTTTCAAAAATGCGCCTTATTACATAACTGTGACGGCATTTTTACATGTCGGCCTCTTGTTGACAGTAGAATGCCATCAGCGAATAGACAGAGAGAGACAAATTAAATGCAGGACATGTACTCAAGACAGAGAACTGTGTAAATTGATGACTTACCTATCATCTCTTATTGTTATTATTTATGTTTAATAAAGCTGTCATTTCAGATCAGTCTATTGATTTTTTTCCCCTTTGTGCTGGAAAAAAATGGTTAAAAACAAAACACAAGACCAGCAGCCACCCTCTGTATTTTCAAATTCCATCCCTGTCAATTGCATGAAATTCTAAATGTCCAGAAAAATGCTTTGAATACAGCATGCGAGCACATACAAATGAAACTAAATCTGTCTCAAATGTGTCGTCCCAATAACGTTGCGATAGGAAAGACGGTGGTTTTGATTAAATGTTAATAAAGTTAACACACTATTGTGCTTGATAAGGTCAATTAACATTTTTTCTGTACGAAGCCACCACGTTTCTCTGACCCCTACTTCAACGTAACCACACAGACATTCAGTCATGTCTTACTGCAGTTGCTACGGGCACTGTCACTGAACATTTTACTATTGTTATGAGTAGTAGTAAAAAATTCTGTAACAGCCCTGTCACATCCAAATAAAACTACACTTCAACAGGAAGGTGAAGCCACCAATGTTACGTTTTCCTTGTCTGAAAGGGAATTTATTGTACCATCTGGCCATGAGCGCTTTAATTTAAAATACACATAAGGTTTTCCTACAGCAAGTACAATACTTCTACTGGGAGGTCTTTTGTACAGAGATACAACAATGAGCCTGTGTAAAATGCTCATAGCACGATCATGTTGGACCAACCTGAAGTCTCCACACGATGAACACCACAAAGGCTCCGTAGATACTGCTCTTGGCGATGAAAACAGCATAGGCCAGCTTGGCAGTGTGCGTGATCTTCAAATATTCCTCTGCAAAAGGAATTGCAGCATTTTAGCGAGTGACATGATTCAGCAGCGTTGATGCTTTCAGCTGTGTAGGTTCAAACAAATCAATCCTTACCTCTTTTTGCTCCATCTCCTGACAGAAAAAGGAAAGAGGATTTAGGTTATTTCAGTGCAACTTTGAGTTTTGGGAGTTTAATATGATTAGAACTATAAATATAAACACACCTTCGACTGACATTGAATTTTGCACAGTTGTGTTTCCATTGAAGAAGTTGACGGTGCAGGTGAACCTCTTGCCTGGTGTTGACCAAATCCTGAGTGGGACCCTCAGCCTGCTGGTGATTTTGTAATAGTCCCCGTCCCGCAGAGCAGCATTGTCGGTCGCCACGCCATCTGTGATTTTATCCCCATCGATCTGCCAGAACACACTCACATGGTCCGGGTAGAAACCATAACCCAGACACACCAAGGTCTTCTTCTTTTTCTTGTTTTTGCTGTTTTGACACTCATTTTTTGAAGGTTTGAACACTTTCACTTTTGGCGGGGTGACAGTACGGTTTGATTCTGCGGAGACAAAGGAAAGAAATCATTGCAATAGTTGGACATTTTGGGAAATATGATTATTTGCCTTCCTGCCAAGAATATCTGTGCCATAAGTAGGTAGCTAGAACGAGTAACCAGGTAGCTTATCTTAGCATAAAGACTGGAAACAGCTGGCCTCAGTCTTTCCAAAGGTTACAAAATCCGCCTATACCAGCACCTTTAAAGCTCACAAATTAACACGTTATATCTCATTTGTTTAATGTTTAATGTGATGTGCTAGAGAAACACTCATTCAAAAAACAGTGATTTCCGTCTTTCTTTTTTTCCTTCAGAAGTGTCTAACATTAACATCGCAATTTATTAGAGTTAATTTTCCTCTTATTTTAAAGAGACAACCTCTGAATTCCAAATTCATGTTATCAGATTTTACACAGTTTGAGCTCCATCAGACTCCAAAGTTACATACCAATGCAGCTCAAATCTAAAAGTAATTGAAAACACATCCAAACTATAATTTTTCTACATGCCAACACTTTACAAAAACAGAAACTGTTAGAAGCTGTAACTTCAGAGATGAATTATTTTGTGTGAGGTTATTTTCTTACCTAAGACTGTCAATTTGGTGCCACTGCCAAAGTAAGCAGGGTTGTAGTTGGTCACATAGACACATGGCTACAATAAAAACTGTTTCAACTTTCTGCACATACAACTGTGAACAAAATATTTTGCTATTTTTCACTGAAAAAAAAACAGTGTTTGGACATGTCTCCGAATTCAGCTTGTATAATAAACTGAGAAATTTAACAGAGTTAGGTTGATTTTAAAGTACAGGGCGACACATCCTCAAATCGTACCTTGTAAATATTAAAGCAGCTAAGTTGGGCTTGGATGGAATATTATTGATAAATTTGACTCTGAATTCTACATAATTTTACATTATAATTTGTTTTACCTTACCTAAGACTGTAAGTCTTTTCCAGTCCCAAAGTAAGCCTCTGACTGGAAACTCTCAGTTGTTCACAGAGCTAGTGAGAACTCACTTTGAGAACCACAATCTGGGCATAGAGCCAATTCTTTTATTGCTGCGGCAGTTTGCTGGAGGACGGGATTGGACTGACTAGTTAGGACTGAAACAAAACTAACCTGAGCTATAACATATATAACTTTTATGGTTTAAAGGACAAACACTACATTTATTGCCACCAAATAAAATCACATAAAAGCCAGTCCACATGTAGCCTATTCTCTCTTTTAAACAAGTTGTGAAAGATGCTCAGTTTGCTTTGTTGTTGCAGATTTTCTTACCTAAAATGGTCAGTTTAGTTCCATCTCCAAAGTGAGCCTCAGCGAATGAACACGGAGGACTCAGACTGTGACAAAAACTTACTGCTTCTGTCTCAGTGCTGCTCTTTCTCGCAATTTATCTAACTTTGTCACACTTTGACATGTGGAGACGTTCAATATCATGTACTGCCGTTAGCAATAATAGATGTCACTCTCTGCTACAGATCACCTTTTAAACATCAACATTTTGAGGCATTTTTCTATGATAATTTAAGTTTTTTCAGCACTAAGTACCTTAATCATCACTTGCAAGTACTCTGTCAGTCTTTGAAGTATCTTAACAGGGAATCAAGTCAGAACAATTCCATTGTTATACGATATTTTAATCAACTTAATGTTGGTTTCTTACCTAAAACAGTTAATCTGGTTCCTCCACCAAAGTGAGCCTCATAAGCACCACTGGCACAGTGCTCAAATTAGCCTAAGATACAGTTTATGTATTTTGACTTTAATACGTTCAGTATATAACTCTATCACTTTCCTTTAATTCCTAAATGCAACATCGCTGTACTACAGCTTTTTTGTTGAGTTGGAAGACAACAACAGCTGAAAAGACTGTGAGGATCACATACAGCATCATAAGAAGAAAATCAGATGTCTTACTTACCAAGAACAGTCAGTTTTGTGCCTGAGCCGAAATAGGCTTCGTTATTGGCACAGTGCACAAGCTTGATATCAAAAAGCACTGAGCTGGATTAGAAACTACAAAGGCCCAAGTGCAAAAAAACGACTAGTTTACAGAGTAGGATAGGTTCAGGTCAAAATCTCCCCAGGTCAGTTTAATAGTTTGTTTTTCCTTCATTCTCAAACTGTTTTAACATTTTTCTTTAATGATTTAAGTTGTGAGAGTTCAGACTTACCCAGAATTGTGAGTTTGGTTCCACTTCCAAAGTGAGCTTCAGCTCCTGTGTCACACTGATTGCATCCTCTACCAAAAAGTTACAAAACTGAACTTAACTGGCACTTGGAAAAAGGCTAATAATCTATGAGACTATTGCAGCTTGAGCATAGGAAATGGATTTCATATCGTCCACGTTTTCTGTTTTTTAAGAGTGGATAAAACCCAAATGCTGCGTATTGTCGCTTTATTTTTATTCAGTTCCAAACAAGTTTCCACACTGAAATTAAGTTTTCGTACAGTGTCAGAAACCTGCATGTTTTCAGAATACTGATATTTCTATCTGTGACAAACGTCACGGTGACTTTATGTGCTCCACACTGAGCATGTTACATGGAGGAGGTTTTTGTACAGCCGTTCTATTGGATTGTATCACCGTGCCCCCCTGTCCCCACAGTGAAAAAGCATTAGACAAAAACCTAACTTCTCTTTTCTTGTCTTGTCGTTCCTTCCCCCACCCAGCTTTCCCGTATCTCAGCCTCCATCTTTCTCCGTCTGTCTGTGAGAGCAGCTGTGCAGGCCGATCTGACTGACAGCTGAGGTGAGCTCCATGCAGCCCGATTGCTGCTATTTCTGTGACAGCTAAGAAAAGAAGCAAGAAAGTAAAGACTTCATGTTTCTATGTACGGTAGCTCCACAGAGGAAGTGACATCTTTACCGGTCACACCGTCTCATCCCACCCACTTCTATCACTTTCTATAAAAAGATGAGACAGAACTTGTGCTGTCTGACATCAGAGTAACATCAGCAGCAGCTCACCATAAAATTTAGTTTGGTCATTGTTTTCTCCAGAAGTTGAATTCAGATTTTAGCTTTTGCTCTCTCTGTGTTTTGGATTTTTATAGTTCCCAGCATAGGAATTCTGCCAAAATATCTACTCCTAAACAGACTGTGTCTACAGCCATGCTAGCAGCTCTGTGACTTGAGCTAACATGCTCCTATTAGCTGGTCTTTAAGATACACAGTCTGTGATCCATGAATGTTTGCACAAAATTCTGTGCCAATCCAACTTGTAGGAATCAAGCTATTTCACTAAGTAAAACTGTTGACCTTTGGTGGCACTACAGAAAAAATCAATGGACCACCAAAGTCATTAGCATTCATCCACTGGGGAAAATTAATGTCTGTAAAAGCATTTCATGGCAATCGATTTAATAGTTGCTGACGTACTTCAGTCTGGACCAAAGTAGTGGACACACTGACTGACAACTCTAATGTAGCCATGCCTAAAGCAAGCTGCTGGCTTAGCTAAAAATATTAAAATCTATCAGGCAAGTTGTCATAAGTTGTAATTCACTGAATATATTAGTGCTCCCCGGATAGTGAGCTTTCCTCACCCCTTAGTGGTAAGGCTCAACCTGTCAGGTGTAATGGATATTCCAGCTAGCATGGGTTGCTAGAACGGCTTTAGACTGATTAAATAATTCCATAATGTTTGATTTTTACTAATTAGATAGTAAAGTCAGTAAAAGTAAATGTTACTAGAATTGTTTGACTCATGTACAGTAAATAGGGTGTTTTTACATGTTGACATATTGTGTATCTTATGCAAGTGAACAGTTTCTACAACCTTTCATTAATGGGCTATTTTTGTTCATTTTATATTTTAATGGAACTAGCAAGTCAGATCCCCATAAGTACACAGTAACACCAATCTACTCATTTAGACTGTAACATTATCTATAATTTGACTGGCCCCACTGTGACATGTTAGCCTGACTTCTTGAAATATTCAGCATTATGATTTGTTTTTATATGTAATGCCAAATGTACCCTGTTGAGGTCAGTGTATGATCAACTCTTAAACTTGTTCTTTCCTTCCAAATAAAACAACACTTTCATCTACTCAGACAACAACAAAAATTAAAGAATAGAACAAAAAGAAAAGACTTTGAGAAAGTGATAGAGATGTGTACAAAGAGCACTAGACTGTATATGACAGACAGACATTCTTTTTTCTTGTTCCAGCAGCTGTGTACTTATCTAACTGATCAGCTTTGTGGTACAGCAGAAATATCAATGCAGTTTTGTTCTCTTAATTAGTATCTGTTTAACAGGTTACTTATCGTTGTCTTTGGTAAGTGGAGCTTAATCATGGAGACTATATCAACATAAGAGATTTAACCATAATCTATGGTGTAACAGCAGCTTAATATTACATAATGTAAATAGATTCCAAATTATTATATTTTTCTTCTCATGCACGATACCAACCGGCAGCTACACTTGTTTTTTCCAGCTTTATTGCCAAAATACATACAATACAGTTATTTGAAGATGAAGATGGGGTTTTTGGATTAAAGAGCAGCAGACCAAGAGCCACCCGGTGATTGCACAGGGGAGAGGAAAGAGCCAGGAGAGGAGCCATGCTGGCCCAGCTTGGACTTTATTCTGCTCCTGAGGAGTTGGTCTGGACAAAATGGGACTCATTGACCAAACAATGGAATTCAGAGACCTGCCCCACCAACATCCCGGAGCAGACACTCGGCAGGTGGTCTATATTCTGAGCTGTCAGCGCAAGATGAGGAGGTGGACTCCGTTTTACATCAATGATGCTTGGTGGTCAAACGCAGTCTTTCCCAAATGTCAGCTTGTTTATTGTGAAGATGAAACTTTCACATCATCATCGGTTGCTGCGGTTTACATTCACTGTGGAATGTTGGGGGTGTATACATGTAAATGTAACCAAGTCAAGCTGTAACAATTCTCATAAAATAGACATAATTCAAATACAAATAGCAGCAGTTGATCAGGCAGGCAAAACAGCAGTGGCTAGACAACCCTAAAATTACAAGAATTTAATTAGTTCAGTTGTCTTAACACATAGTGCCAAAACATACTTGCTAAATACCTGACAATATTTACCTCACACAATGCAGTAAGTAGTCAACTCAGCTCTGACTCCACCTCGCTTATGGATCGGATGTTTAGTCATGTTATCAAAAAGGCACACAAACTAGTAAACTTGCATAACTATTAGACAACATATTTTTACCTCAGCTTTAACCACTGCCTTCTCTGTGGTGGACCTTTAGCACCACAGGCTATTCAGGTGATGAGGTCTGGACAACAGGTGACTTAAAATACCTGTGATTAAAACATGTTCACAAGTTAAAAAAAGATTGTCAGCCTTGACTCATAACTCCTACAAAACATACCTGCTCTCTAGCCACACTGGACCACAATGCCTACAGAGAGATCTGGGTGCGCCCTATAAATCAACTCCTAAAGCGGCACAGGTGTGTGCCTGCTTCTAGAGACAGGGGGTGGAGCTTCACTGAGAGGCTATAGCCGCCCATGGCCGTACTAGGCAAAAAGCCTGCCTATCACATATGTAAATAACTGTATATATTTATGTTACCATATTTTAATAGTCCTACGCTTAATTATATGTTGTATGTGTAGCATGAAGGAACTACAAATTTTCAAAAGTCAACACAGTGGACGCTGTAGGGCAACCGCCAACTGGCGTTTAGTGGTTTAATTTCAGAGCAACGGTGACACCAACGCACAAGTCTAAATGCATGGCTATGTGTGTAGCTATACCATAGGATACGCATGTAGACCCGACGCAGGAGTATAAATCAAAGTGGGACACTGGGAATGGGCCGTAGACTACAGGCTACTGAAGTGCGGGTGGGTTGATTGGAGGCTAGCTGGCGGGATGGGTGCTAGTAGATTGGAAAACAGGCTAAGGTTCAGTTTGGAGGCAAGCATGCTGGAAGTCACTGGCTGGGAAGCAGACAGAATACCAGTTCTTTAAAAATAAAAGATAAAGTAAGTAAACTCAAACCCAAAACCATGACACCATCCCGTCCCAATCCTGTGATAAATAGGGTAATCCTGCAGGTCTCACAGGATTTCCGAGATATCTGGTTGGCTTTCTGTGGCAGAGGGCAATAAATGAGATGGCACCTTCTTAAATCCAGAAGAATTATTGTAATTCTAGCTCTGTTGAGCAGTTACTGCAAATATAAGAAACTGTGTTGTGGTAGCAGCCCGGCTGACGGTGAGTGTCCTTTTTTTTCTCCTTTTTATCAGTTATTCTGCTTTTTTCCTTGGTTTTCTGTTCTCTGCCTGCCTCCCTGTGTTTTCTCCCCTGTGTTCTCTCTCTCTCTCTCTCTCTCTCTCTCTCTCTCTCTCTCTCTCTCTCTCTCTCTCTCTCTCTCTCCCTCTCCCTCTCTCTCTCTCTCTCTCTCTCTCTCCCCTCTCTCTCTCCCTCCCTCTGCTCCTGAGCCCAGCCAACTACCTGCACCTGCATCCCATCAGCCACCTCGTCAGCCTGCCACACCTGCCAGTAATCACCTCATGCCTGCCTGCATTTCAACCCCGGTTCTCCACACCCTCCTCGCTTGATTGTCGTTGCTCCATACCCGGTGCCACCTCTATGTTCAGGCTTTTCATGTTTCTTCACATTTTCCTTGTGCTTTGTCGCCGCTACCTCTAATCCTGCCTCTCTGTCTGTTTCCCTCCCAGGTACACTCACCCTTGTCTTCCGTTCAGTCGGCTGGGCTCATCCTCTCCTCCTCAGACTACCCCCACGGTGTCCTCCCTGTTCCCCCACTGCTCCTCACCTCCTCGGCCCCAGTGTTCCCCGGCTCCCTGGCCCCCAGTCCTCCTGGTTCCCCGTGCCTGTGTTTCCCCAACATCCACCTCTCCCTCCACTCCAGTCCCTCTACCCCTTTATCCCTCAATAAACCTCCTTCCCTCCAAACGTTGCATTTGGGTCCTTTCCGGTCCCCACAACTTGCAATCCCATAACCAGTTGTTTTCATAATGATATGGTAAAACAAATGTCTAAAGTCAATTCAATTTTGACTTTATACATAATTTCTAATATGGCAATAGGCACAGTGCTGGGAAAGATCACTGGTGTGATCATGTAAAAGTTTTTAACTGATCTATGTTCCGTTTAATTTTGAGTTATAAAACTAATTATAATTGATCTCAATAAAGAGAGAAATCATGGCACTGAGTAAATATGATCCTGTTAGTTTTCTAGCTATATTCAACAAGACAACCATGAAGCATTCAAAATCCCCCAAATGCTGAGAATTTTAAAGTATTTTAGTAAATATATTATATACAAGTACACATGCTTTAATTCAATATTTTTCAGCATGCAGAGAATGAGGATTAGTCATGTTTTCTTCTTCTTCTTCTTTAGTGAAGTAACTACAATCCAATAAATAAAGATACAATTACATCTAAAACTCAACAACATTTTGTAAAGAAAGCTTATCAAATTAAAGTCGTTTTGAGGAGACATTCAGAAAGTCGTAGTTCAGTTATAAAAGTCAACACATTTTGTTTCTTGACCAAACTTTCTTACAGTGAACTGTAACTAAAATGGACATACCATTATGTTTACCACCCTCAAAAACGTTAACAGTTCTGGGTTTAAATATTAAAAGGTAAATAGAAAACGGCAGAAGGAGTGTTTCTAGCAGGTATTGTTAGTAATACAGCACTGGTGTGTTTCAGTCCCATTTTGGGTTGTTGTTTAGCCACAGAGTGTGTCTGAGACACTGTGTGTCTAGAGGCACAGTAATACACAGCTGAATCTCCAGCCGCAACATGGTGTATGTGCAAAGCGGAGTTAGGCACTGCAGGCCGTGACATGGTGTACTTGGATTCTTTGAAAGGAGCTTCAGTGGCCCATATGTCTTTGTTTAGAGAATATGTTACCAGCTGCATTTCCCCCCTGCCAACGTGTCTGTACCAAAACATGTACAAATATTCATCATTATCTTGTTCACACTGGAGCGATACAGATATGTCTCCTTCTTTGTTGATTGCAAATGGAGGCTGACGTATTTTCATACAGCAGGAGAAACCTGGAAGATAGAGAAGAAGACAGAGTAAATAACTAGATTTTACATAAAGGTAAAACAGCAAAGTTGCCCAGTGGGAAAATTAAAAATGTGTTCTTACTGGTAAAGAGCAGAAGAGCTAGTGAGAGGACCTTCATAATCACTGTTGTTGTACAGATCTTATATGTGAAATGAGAGCTAATGTTCTTTCCTCCACCTGTAATGTTTCCTCTGCACGCTTCACTCACAGTTTCAAACAGTTTCCTAGGACAGCTACAGTCTCCTAGTGGCCACCCAAAGGTGATATATCATCATACATACACATACATCATTCATGTGTTCATGCAGAAAAGTCATAATGAGACGAAAGGAAAAGCAGAGAGATAGAATCGGACCGGGGGGCATATTTACCTGCAGTTTTTGATGAGTTACTGCAGTGTGAGCCAGACAGGCTGTTATAGTGATTCACGCACATTAAAATATTAACTATTTATAAGGCGTTTGCGGCTTTGTTCTTTGGTGCAGAAGACTAGTTTCCACGGCAGGTTTTATCAATTCATCTTTGTCTTTATTTTTAACATTATCTTTGTCTGCTTCTTGACTCTACCATTGCTGTTAACATTACCTTTACTTTCACCTTTGCTTTTTACCTTAATTTATTTGTCTGTACTCTTTCATCACTGCTGCCCTTTCTTTTACATTTACTCTATCCCATACATTTACTTTTATCTTTATTTTCAGCTTTATCGCTATCTTTATCTGGACTTTATCACTTTCCTTTACTCTATTGTCAGTTACACTTATTTTGTCTTTGTTCTATTATTCTATTTCACCTTTATTGTTATCTTCTCTCACTCTATTGGGCTTATTTGTATTTCTTTACTCTTTCATTACTGTTACCTTTAATTTGACATTTATGTTTACTGTACTGTCACATCTACTTTTACCTCTTTCTTTATCTCTATCTCTATCTTTGTAATGACCTTCACATGTAACTTTATCTTTATGTTATTCAACTCATCATAACTGCATATTTCATTTCAAATAATGAACCACATTCCTTTTTGTATTGTCCCTCTCACTAAAGCACCCTGAACAGTATTATCGTGTTGTTCATCACAAAAAAGTATTAAATATAAACGCTGTTTCCTTTAAATTTAATATATTTGATATAACAGAGAGCACTTTTACCCAACATTAAGTTAGATGATAGATAAAAGTTTGTATTTCACTCTTAAGTTTTGATCTGAATTAATAATAATAATAAATAATAATATTTCAGCTGTGTCAACACAACACAGCTACCAAACAGCAGGAAGATGGGACAGGGTTTTAGTAAGTCAGTGACAGCAAACCACATCACTGTGTACTGGCAGCACAGAAATACACAGCTGAGTCTGACAGATTCACACTGTGAATGATCAGAGCTCCTCTCAGTTTGGTTTCCCTAACAATCTCAATTTGATCTAGAAACTGCTGCTCATACTCGGGCGGATTGATATCGTAGCTGTATCCCATTAGGCTCATCAGTTGGTTCTCTCTTTGCTGGTACCAGAGCATGACATAGAGATCGTTGTCATTGTGACTACATTTGATCTCTACCCTGTCCGTCACATTGACTAGTCTGGACTGAGACTGCTGAACTGTCACACTCTCGGCTTGATCTGTGGAAAAAGAAATATAAAATATTATTGAGACATGCATTACCATTCATAGTATTGTTGTATGACTTAATGGAGATTTTCATGTCATTCTGTCTAAATTTTATTTAATCTTAAAGAAGCAGTACATGGAAGCAAGAGAAGAAGAAAAAATCCAGTGCCAGCTGGAGACATCTTAGCTGTGACATCTGGCATCGTAAAGCTGGAGGATGATATCTTGAGAGAGACTCTGCCACTTTTTTATACTGCACATGCTCAGTTGCAACAACTGAAGAAAAAGCAGTGAGGGTTTTTTTGTGAGGGAGTGACATTAAACCACATCACTGTGCACAGGTAGCGCAGAAATACACAGCCGAGTGGGACACGTTTGCACTGCGGACGATCAGAGCTCCGTTTAATGTGTCTTGTCTTCTCAGCTCAAACTGCTCTTGAGACTGGCCCTCGTAGGTTTGGGCGCCTACTCCATATCCAAACCCAAGGAGGTCCATAGACTGACTGTCCTTTCTTTGCTGGTACCAGAGCATTACTGGACGGCTGCTGTCGTCATGGCTGCAACTGATGTGGACCTCGGTGCTCTCCTCCACTATCAGATGAGGCCGTTGATTTATCACGATACTGTTGACCTGAACTGTGGAACATTTTGATTAAATATTGATGTAGAACAGACGACAATTCCTATTTAATACAGTGGAGAATTTGCTGAAATTTAAGGTCTTACTTGGAAACCAGAGGAAGATAATACCAAATGTGAATGAAGACATTGTCATGTACTGCTGTGTGAAATATGCTTTTGCGTGAATAAGGGCAAGAATCAAGAATATTTTTTTATTATTGGGGAGGTGCTAATTCAGCACCATGTGCATCTGAGAACCTCTGTACCATGTGCTCTACCTCCACCTGTTGGCTGAATCTAAACTTTGGTGGATTCATTTTCCATTCTTATTAAAAATATAAGGCAAGGCTCAAATAAAAATAAAATATCTGACTTGGGATAATTTGGTTTGTGCATCACTGATTAGAACGGGTCAAGCAGGCGTCCTGTTAATCCCACAAGCCTTTTCATTCTCTTTATACATAAAGTTACTAATACTCACACAGACAGTGCTGTACATTTTAATGTCATGGGTCAGATGTCCACTGGTGCCCCACAAGGTATTAATCTTTTCATTATGTTTCATAACATTTGTAATCATCTCATAATCATAATTTATTCTAAATTTAATTTTCCTCACCTTAACTCAACATCTGGTCTATTTAATGACACAATCTGTCAATCAAATCAGCGACCTTTACATGAGCTCTAGACCCTGTTATGGTCCATCCTTATTTTAGTAATTGTTGTGAAACAGAAACGGAAACCTGGTTAATCATATCCTTGTATGATTATAACGTAATCCAAGCAGAAGCAAATCAAGTATATGCACAGCTGAATATCTCTGTGTCTTATCTGCTAGTTTTCTATTGTATTTTATTTAGTGTCTGATTTTATTATACATTAATTTTATTATACATTAATTTTTTTGTCAGTCTGTTGTCTTTCATGCCTTGTGTATCTGCCTGCAGCCCTTGTCTGTATGAAGTTCGGATTATGATTCTCGCCTGCCATTTTAGTTTGGATTTTTGCTTTTCTTTTGTCTGTGTACTTTGGAATTTGGTGTTTCTGAGTCTGGGTCCAAATACTTGTTTTTCCCTTGTCTGCACTTGGCCCTGCATTATCTGTTTTTTATCAGATGTTTGTTCCTTTTACTATATTTTTTAAACATATACACGGTGAGTTTGCAGCTAAACTACATGACATGCCCACATATCATCATACAGTATATACTGTATGGCATTTTATTTTCATGTGTCCCACTTCACAAATCAACAGGAAAGACATAAAAATAAGACAAAAGAATGTGTACACTTAAAAAAAGAACAAAAAGGGCATTGCTGAAAAATAAATTACTTTAATGGATGAAAGATGAATGCAGGTTTTTACAGATGTAAAACATCTGAACCATTGTTTCTGTGTTTTGGAGTTGAATGATGACAGCTTTTTATTTAAATGATAAACAGCATCTTATTTCTCCATTCTTTTAAACTTGGACCATCTGATGATTTCACTGTAAGATTTTAGACAAACAAACCTCAGACCGTTTGAAACCACAAGTGATCAAATTCTAGGGTTTACCGGTAACTGACTATTAAAATGAGTATTATGGAATTAATCATGTCGCTTTCGTGACTGTATTCCTCAAATTATGTGAGTTAAAATGCATTCTGTTGAAGGGTAGATGCTTATTGTTTCAGTGGTTTGAAACTGCATCACGTGAGCTCAGTGGTTTCATACTGGCGTGTGACTATCTGCTGGATCGGCATGGTTTTTGTAATAGCGAGGAGCTTTTCTTAATCACAGTGGTAACTTGCTGCACCAAAATATTCTGTGCTGTGTTCAGGGTGCCTCGGGCTCAGGATGTGGAGATATGCTGTATTCTCTCCGTTTCCACTCACATTAAACTGGCCTTCAAATGATGGTTCAACGGATGGTGACGTGTAATACACGTAGCCGATCAGCTTCAGGGCAGTGTCCCCCTTTGAGCGCTGATACCATAGAATGGTGTTCAAGTCTGGGTTTTTATGTGTGCAGGTCAGTTTGACTTCAACATTCTGTGGCCTCAGTAGCTCAGCTGTCTGAAGCACTTGCATGTCTTTACTGAGCAAAACTCCTGTAGAGAGATAATGAAACACTGTTAGGTGGCATGTAGAAATCTTTGCAGTAAATTCTGAGTTTAAGTCAGTGGATCATAGCAATGAGAACTATTTCAACGCTCTTGGTCTTAACCACCTTTGATCCTAACCCCTTGACTGGTTTATTACAACCTTAATCATCTTCATCATTGGATCTCTCTTTCTGTCCTTGGTTTTGAATCCTTGATGACTTTCCCTAACCCCAGCTTGAAAGCTTAACCAGTGGAGGACAAAGTATTCAGATTCTTTACTTAAATAAAAATACTCGAGTTCTTGTTACTTAAGTAAAAGTATATAAGTATAATCAGAAAAATATACTTAAAGAATTAAAGAAAAAGTACTTCATGCAAAAAATTGTGCCCTGTGACTGTTATACTACTCTGTATTATAAATTATTATTACTCATGCATAATTATAAGGGAAAGCAGCAAGTCTTCACATTTGTGAAGCTGGAACCATGAAATGTTTTTGCGTTAAAAATAGTTTGAAATTAATTTTCTGTCAACCAACTGATTGTTTCAGCTGTACTTGTATAAAATGCTGGGTAGTTTAATTCATAACAGAACAATATATTTTATACACTGTGTTAACTGTGAAATCTGTTTTGTGTATAAAAGGCTTAATGTGTAAAGTAACTACTAAAGCTGTTAAATGTAGTAAACTCCATGGCGCATGGAGTCATGAGGAGCATCTGTCAGCCTGTGCCTTTCCTTTGGTTCCCTATTCCAAACTGCCCAGAAGATGGACCTCAGTGGAGGTATAGTATATAATTAGTTCTTTATAAATTAAGTTGGTCCAGATGTGCTGCAGCCTTTTTCCATAAAGTAAGTGGTCAAACAGTAGAGGAGCTAGTTTGAAGAGGATTCATGAACCATTAATAAAGCCACTAGTTGCAACCTATAAACCCTTAATAAACAGTAGGATAGTGGTACCAAATAAGGTGATCAATAAGTATCAAAACTAGTTTTCACTATACGATTTCCCCCAATGCGTATAAACAGAAGTTGCCGGGCAAAGTCAATGCAAAGGACTTCAATAGTACCTTCAATCCAGATGAAGATAGGTATGAAGAGATGAGGCCGGATCATGTTGAGTCTCATGAACCAGCTGAAATCTCTGCAGAACTGTTTGCATATGAAGTCAGAAGAACAACCAACTATTAGAGAAGGTATGTTTCTGCCTTTCTTTCTGCCTCTATGTCTTCAGCTCCACCCACTCTTTGATTGAGTCTAAATGTGCGTGTTCATGTGGTTTGCTCCAGGTGTACAGGGAGACATGAGGGTTTTTGTAGGGGAATGTGGGGCTTTTCTATCATGGTGCGCCGATATGCTGCACAGAAATAATGCCCACTATCCTTGGGATGCCTCAGCTTGAGCATATGAAGGAATGCCTCCTTCTCACCATTTCCACTCACGTTAAAGCTACCCTGAAAGGATTTCTCAACAGTTTGAATAGATGTATAACTTGTAAAACCGACGAGCTTTAAAGACGAGTCTCCTTGTGAGCGATGATACCACAGAATAGTGTCAAAGTTGTTGATGTGGTGTTTGCAGGCCAGTTTGACTTTATCATTTATGTTCCCCAGCACTTCAGCTGGAGCCTGATGGACATCTTTGCTATGATTTGGCGATATTCCTGTAGAAAAGAGCAAAATAATTATGTACGTTAATTCAAATGAAGCCGTATGTGACGAAGCAAAAATGAACAACTTTGTGTACCTTTGATCCAGAAGAGTGGGATAATAATTGCGATTAAAGCACTGTTCATGTTGAGAACCCTCTACTGTACGTGTCCTTAGTTTATGATCTGAAGAAGGAAATGGAAGTGTTGTGGTGCAAACGACATCACATGGTGAGGAAGACGTCAAAGGCAGGCATGAGCCTGATGTGTTGTGCCTCACGTGCTATCAGGTAAAAGAAAAAGCATGTTTGTGCTTGCATCACTCACGCCCTAATAGCTATTCTATCACATAATACATAGCATGCCTATTTTATCTGCCTATAAAGGTGACATGAGAAATGTAATAATTGTCCTATTTAAAATGAATGACTTGGATAAATTTCAAAAATAAAACCAGAAGTCTAAAACCAAGAGGCTGTAGTCTTAATTACACCCCATTAAAATGTTGGATGAAGTGTTGGATACTATATTCTTTGGGTCCTCTTGGTACCCTGTGAGTAATGTAAAGGTGTCAGCAAAGGAAAATCCAAAGGGTTTATCCCCTCTTGAATGTGCTCAGAAGATTTCAGGGCAATCTGCCTGTTAGAGAATATTTGTTTCTGTGAAAATTTGACATTTCAGTCTAGGGTGATACAAGGTAAGTTGCTACACTGCGAAGGATTTATCTTCCACGAGTATGCAAAGTAAATTTCACAGCAATCAGATCTGATTTCTGTTGTACTGGTGGACATGTCGACCCAAAGGTGCTACTGGGGGAAAAGTCAAAGGGTCACTAAAACCTTTAGGACTGTGCTGGTGTCCATGAGCACAAAAATGATTTGGTTAGCTTTAGAGGAAGATCAGGATTTGGATTCAAACAAGTTCTTAACTTGAGGTTAGTCATGGTTAATATAATAAACATGTGGTTAAGGTTATGGAGCAATCGTGGTCATCCTTTAAAAAACAGCGTTGGAAATGGGAAACAAATGGCAGGCTCCAGTGTTAAAGTCTTTTTTGTTGTCCCTCCGGCCTATACAGACGCTCTGTTGCTCTACAAAGTCACCAGACTTCCTCCTTTGTCATAATTCCTACAGCCTCCACAGTACTTTGTCTGGTTCTCTTGGTCCGACCAGAATACCAGTAACAGTAAGGATTGACTAAGGATGACTAATCTCAGTTTCAGGAGAGCAATAAATAATTTGTAAATGATTATTGCTCAGGATTCCCCTCAACATTGTCAGTAAGAGACTTTGCTGCTGTATTCTCCAGTGATGTTTAAATCTGCATTTACAAAAGCATTGGCTGATGCTGATAAGATATCAAACCAAATTACAACCACAAAAGCAGGTGCCTGCTGTTCCCTGCCATGTACAAAACCACCAATGCTGAAAGTGAGTGTAGTTTTTGTAAACTTCGGAGAGACTTTGTATCAACGTGCATAGCGAGCTGCACAGTAGTACACTGCACTGTCCTCAGCAGCCAGCTGGAATATCAGAGAGACATTTTTTGCATCGCTCCTACTCAGATCTCCACTGATGGTGAACTGCTGCTTATATGGCTCTTCCACACTGACATCGTTATAGTTCACATATCCAATAAGCTTCATATCTGTCTGTCCAGGTGGCTGCTGGTACCAGAGCATCACTCTGTATTCAGTTTGTTCATGGGTGCAGACAAGATGCACTTTGTCTCCAGGGCTCCGGATGAGAGCAGAGGGATCCTGATGGATCTCTATACCCAGACAGCCTCCTGGATACAAAGAGTAGCATTCTTTACTTTGTGATGGACGACAGAGAAAATGACACATTCCCAAACATTTTCAACAGAAGTTATTACCTGCAAAGCAACAGAAAAAAAGGAGGCTGATCATTTTGACTTCTTCTTCCCTACAGATTAGGACATAAAACTGTGTTACTCAAAACCCTTTGATAATCTACTGTAGATGGGTTAGAATCAACAGGTGCCTCCGCTGAGCTGCCTGAGGTCTGAGGAGAGAAAGGGATGAAAGGGCTGTGCGTTATTAAACAGGGCCAGAGCTCAACTCCGCCTCCTTACATTCAAGTCCTCAGCTTTGGCCCCTGGCTGTAATAACAACGTAATGTGTCCTCCATAAAAACAGTTATACATGTGATACCATTTCATATATTTGTGTTTGTTTAAAATGTTTTACATAGGGTTCAACATTTGGTGAGAATTGTGACATGTGCATGTTTTTGGTGTGGATAGCGCCACCATGTGGACATTCATAAAGCAAAATAAATACCAGCACTGTCATCAGGTCACATTTCATTGTGTCCAATACTTTAATTTAATTACCTGTAAAATATTAGCATATTCATTACTAGTTGTAAAAACTAATTAGCCAAAGTTCATAACATAACATTACTGAACATGTGAACATGGGAAACAAAATACATTCATTTTTACAAGAACAGATTCTGAGTGTGCCTGGTGATGAAAGTGTTTTGTCAGTTTTGTTTCTTGCCATACACTCCTGTAGATGTGAGAAAGTCACATCAACTCTTGGCAAGTTATTTGAATTCATCTTGAGGGAAACATGAATGTCTGAACTAAATATCCTGGCAATCCATCCGATGGCTGTTTAGATATTACCATCTGAACCAAAGGAGTTCCTCATTGTGGTGAACAACATCAGGCGGTGTGCCAGTCATCTTTGTGTAGTTTTGGTGCAGTTTGAGAGGTACCTGCATCACTGTGTGCACTGACGGCACAGAGATACACTCCGCTGTCGCCTGGTTCCACATTTTTCACTGTGAAAGATCCGCTCTCACTCACAGTCTTGGCTGCTGAGTACTTGTCCTGGCTCACGTTCCCAAAGTCAGGTGGCTTGTAAGGCACCGTGTGGACGATCAGCTTCATACTCTCCCCCGGTAACTGCTGAAACCAGTACATGTGATAGTAACTGCCATGCAGGTTGTGACTGCAGTTCATTTGGGCAGAGTGACCCCTCTCCACCAGTAAGCCCGGGGTCTGTTGGAGTCTTTTAGTCCATGTTAAACCTGGAATCAAGCAAAAAAAAAAATTGCATATAACAGATAATGAACCACATGAGCTTTAGAGTTACATGGAGTTGTACAATCAATAAATGAAACCTGTGGGACAAAACCACCTGCAGTACTGAGCAGGGAAACAGTGCAGATGATGAGAGGTGACATCATTTTGATCCACTCAACAAACAGATGACTCTCACAGTGAGACAGCAGCTGACGGGATCACCTTATAGTACAGAATGTGGTCTCTCCTGTCACAAGGCGTCATCAGACTGTTTCAGTTCATGGCCATCCTCTCAGGATTAGCCTCATTAATAAATCAGTGGTCAACAGTGCTCACCTTTTTAAAATACTATTCCAGAGTGAACTTAATAGATTGTATTATTCAATTTTATTACATTCAGTGTCTTCTTGCCCTTTCATCATTTGAATTCAGCGTTTTTAATGAATTAACATGATTAACATGCTGTTTATTTAAATATCAACCTCAGAATCAGGTGCTTAAAGGAAGTTCATACCTAAAGGACTGTGTAGAGCACAGCTTATTACATACAATAATGATATTCCAGTAAATAAAAGGAAATGTGAATTTCTTAATTTTAGTAATTTAAGTTTGTATTACTATTGAGATACTGACCTACACAAGTCTGGGAGACTTTTACAACCAGAGACAAAGTAAGTAAGAGTTTTTATGGATACACCTACAACCAATCAGAGCAACGAAACGTGTGACATAGCGCTGAGCGACACGCGCAAGTTGGGGCTGGGCTTGGTTTTTTTCATTCAGGAAAAAAATGGCGGCCTTTCTCAAGTTCCAGCTAAACAGTACACTAAAACGTGTTTCTGAAAACATTTTGAGGAGGAAAATGCAGGGCAACGCAGCATATTTGATCAGCACTGTCTGGTTAAACGTTTGATCTGAGGTTCATGAGCCTGGTGTGTAGATTTAAAAATACAATTCAATTGTACATGTACACTTCTCATTGGCTTGTGATTTGGCGTTCCCATTTGTAAGGTTTTATCACAGCTGTAGATTTTGTAAGCTACTCTCCACTTTTGTGTTAAAAATAATTACCATTTCCAGGAGGAGGATCATGCTCACCATCATAGGTAACAGATTTCTGCAAGACTGAAACTTGTATGCAAACATTTGGGGTCAGTGCACATGTTGTATTTTGTTTAAATGAAAGTTTGAATGTTATCACAATTGTTATAACAATCATATTTTATTCATTTAGCATACATCTGTGGAGAGAAACACTCCATCTTATTGGATAATAAAAGTGTTGCATCCGTACTGTGTGATAAGCTGTCTGATATGAAATATTCTCAGAGTGTTTGCTGCCTGTGGGTTACAGCAGGTGTCTATTGTGACTGTGTTAGAGGGTTTTTGTTGAAGACAGAAGGTTTATGCAGCACTGTGCATCACTGGCAGCACAGAAATACACCACGTTGTCTTTGGCTTCAGTATGAAGAGATGACAGACTTCTCCCATCCCCGCTCACGTTAAAAATCTCTTTAAATGGATCTTCAACAGTCCCAGAGTCGTATCGCATATACCCTATGAGAGTCATTTCACTGCTCCGTACAAACTGTTTGTACCACTGGATCATTGTAAAATCACTATTCGTATGGTTGCAGTTAATCAGGACCTTTTCTCCAGGATCTTTGAACATGGCAGGAGGATTCTGATGAACACTTTTTGTTGAGAGCTCTGCAGAAACACAGTTGAAACATAAGTTGTTAGTGGAGATAAGAGGTTAAATCTTCAGGATTCAAACGATCAATAAATGCATATAACATTACCGGCTACACATAGCGGCAGAGCAGCCAACTGGATGAGCAGTCTAATGGTCATCTTTGTGCAAAAAAAAATAATACATACGAAACATGAACACTGAAAACTGAAATGAGTTGCCTAAGAAAAGGTGGGTTAATACTGTGGGATGCAGGGGCCGGTCCAGAAAGAGAGAGAGAGCCATCCATAAATCTGATTGGCCAGCTGTGGTGCCCCTCCTAGCGGGGCGGGGTCAAAAGGTGGTACATACTGGGCTTGTGAGTATAAACAAATGTAGAACACAAAGCACAAATAGAACTAACTGACTTTAAAGCTGAAATGAATCATTATAAATAATAACAGAAATAATAATAATATAAAAAATTATAATAATTATTAATCAAAAGTTATTTAAATGTGCCTTGAAATTATTACTTATTAAAAAGTACAAAATTATTAGCATCAAAATGTATTTAAGTATCAAAAGTAAAAGCATTAATTATACAGAATGGAATTTCAGAATTATATATAATATTACTAGATTATAATTAGTGAAATGTGTGAGCATCACTAATGCTGTAGCTGGTAAAGATGGAGCTAATATCAACAACATCGTATTCTGCTGGGTAGCTTAATTATAATAATAATACATCATCATTTATTTGTTGATTTATATTTTGTATTAATGTTTAGAATTTGTAAAGTAAGTTGGAATTAATGTTGTCAAATGTGTGATGCAAAGTAAAAACTTGGCTGCCAAAACGTGGTGGCATAAAGGTATAAGAGGATAAAATGGAAATGGTCAAGTAGCTGAGTAAATGTGCTTCGTTATATTAGATATTAGGTACATTTATATTTTCACACTAAATTTTTGTAGTGGCTTGCTGCAGTCACAACAGAAACTGAGACATGATGGGTACGTTTTGACAGCATATTTGGGATGATGATGATGACGACATTTTAGTGAGATGTGGGCTGAAAAAGACTTTTTGCGTATGGCTGTTTAGAAGTAACAAGTGACAGACTGAACAGACACTGTGGGATGACCTTAGAGAGGAGGAGACAGACATTTAGTGAACAGAGTTTTGGTTCTTCCTGTAGTCCTCCTCTTTTCTGGCATTATACATGGATGTACAGTATTTGCAAAGAAGCACTTTTTAACAGTGTACCCTAATATGCACTTTGAGCCAAACTGGCACAGACATTTGTAGAGGCATGAATGATTCCCAGAGGATGAATTCTAATGGATTTTGTGATCCCCTGACTTTTCCTGTATCAGCAGTGACATTTGTGGTTTTGAGTGAAACGGCTTGAGATTGGACAATTGGATGGATTGTAATACAATTTCCAATTGTATTCTCATCCCAATTGCAGTAACTTTGGTAATCCTCTGACTTTTCCTCTGGCACTATCATCAGGTTTGAATTATATTTGAATTTCTCCAATAGTTATGATCAAATACCTGCAAAACTAATGGCATTCCCATCAGCCTCTGCTCTACTCTGTGCTTGTGTGTACTTTTGTGCTTATAAGCAAATGTTAGCATGCTAATACGCTACACTAAGAAGGTGAACATGGTAAAATATATACCTACTACGCATTAGCGTGATAGCATTAACACTGTGAGCACTGTAAAATGTGTTTACTATATCTGGGTGAAATAACCCATAGAGTGCTTTAAAAATCCCAGTATCTCCACCACCTTTTTTGTCTGTTTTTACCGTGCCTCACTTCATCAACACCCCTCTGATGTTTACCCTCGGTGTAAAGTCAACTACTGAGTCCCAATTGCCTGCAGAGGGGTTTCCTCTCTGCAAACAGAGCTTCCTCTGTGTCTGAAACCGGAGAGATCAGCATTCCTCTGCCCAGGCTTCAAATAAAGACCTGAATTCTTGCAGAAATAATCCATATTCCCGCTGGGAGTGCAAACCTATCCACTGTTCCTGGGTTGATGCCTCCCTCAAGGTGGACAATCGGTGTCTTTGTGAAGCCAAGATTATGCCAAGAGACTGAGCCCGGAGCAGGTCCACCCAGCAGCCTTCAGTCCCACTGCCTGAGCTGTGCAGATGGTCTACCTCACTGTGGAGACACTGGATTATTTCGGGCAAATATCATCAACAGTGCTGGATTATTAGAGCGACATCTGTGGTTTTCTGATGGATTATAGAAGATCTTCATTTTCAAAGTGGTTTTAATGGCCCAGATAAGACATCACCACCTGACTGCCTGACGAGTCTCCACCAACTGAGAGGTAGGCCACAGTTATTTTTTCTTTTCTGACACAGGGTTAGAGAGCCCACATGTATTGGGCTGCTTCACAGATTTTCAGGGGGCTATATTTTCAGACCACAGCTGCCATTTTTTGACTGATCACTCTGCAAAACAATGCGGAGGTTTTAAATTGTCGATTAAAATAACTAAGATTATGAATTTCACAGTGTTGCTTCAAAGAGTGTCACAATCCATCCAGCTTTTAAACACACAAGGACCCCCAAAGCCAGGACAAAGACCTGATTTAGCTCCTAAAGCAAAGTTAAGAATCTGCTACAGTCCACATTCAGCGTCCAATATGTCCTGTTTGTCTGGATTACACTCTCTGTGCCTGGCCCTTCCAAGAGGTATAGATTGAAGAAGAGAGAGAAAAAAATATATTTCTGAAAATGTTCTTTAATCTTGTTTCCTCAATCAGTCACTGTACAACTGGTAAATAGGTAAAAAGCTTCTTTGATTCAAGTCCTGTGGAGGGTGGGGGCAGTCAGGGAATTAGGCAGGATTCAATGTTAGACCACTTAACATGCTTTATTTCAGCATTCAAAATAATTAAAAACATCTCAATTTATTATACATATACAAAATAGGTACAGATCCTTGTGGTGTTTTCCCCCCATGGGGTATGTCTGTCTGCCTTCTCTCACAAACTCTTTGCTGATGGCTCTTGTTGTGTCCATTTTAAAAATCACTATCTGATTCCAAATTTTTTGAGAAACCCTTTGCACAAGAAAACAAGAAACAAACTACAACAGATGTGTGGATGAAGGGGAAGAGAAGAAATCTGAATGACAGAAAGGTGGAGGGGGGGGGGGGTTCAAAACATAAAGAGATTGGATCCACTTTTCACTTGAGCTCAGAAACAGAGCTAGAGTTTGACTGCCAGCGCTACCAATGCTGGAAAAAGAAGAAGTCTGTTTCATTCTGGACACCAAGAATAAAAGCTGTGGTTTCGCTTTAGCACCAAGAGGGGGCCCTGCAATGCCAGTGTGACCTTCACACTACAGAACATATAGCCAGGAGACCTCAAAGAAAAAATAGCACCGTAGGTTTTCGCTGTTTCTGCTTCTGCTAAAGTGTCAGTAAACCTCGACTACCCCACCGACTGCCACAACTACTGCAGGCTTCATTTAAAAACACTGGGCCCTTTTTTTGCACAGCTGGAATTCCTTGATTTTCTGAGGTAGCCACAGGATATTTTTCTTTCAAAAAAGAGGTTTAAACCCATGTTTCTCTGCTGGTGGTTTTAATGTGACTTTTCTTAAAAAAAAAAAAAGGGTTAAATTGAAAGGAACAAACAAGAAAGCAACCACATCAACAAACAAATCACAAGAGCTACAACATCAGCAGATGAGGAGGAGGGAGTTGTCAGTGTTGTCTGGGGCAGGGGAACAGGGGGGGCAGAACAACACAGACAAACATGGCTGTCAGTTTCACCGTTTATTCATCAACACCTGAAACGTGGTACAAAGCAATTGGGTTCTGTCTGTTGGGACTGTCCTTTCATTCCTCTCACCGCAGTGGTGTATAAAAATACAAAAGTCACCTGTGTGTTTCTGTTGGTTTCTGTAAACTCCAGAGAGGCCTGGTTTGGCTGGATGAAGAGGGGAAGTAATTTTTTACACTTTACAGAAGCATATATTATTTTCTTGTTGCCAGTGAAACAAAATGTCTTCTTTACAGGATCCTTGGTGTTGGTGATGGTAAAAAAAACAACAACAAAAAAAAAAGAGTCAGAAACAAAAAAAGTAGTGGTCCCGAACACGACGATGCAGACTCCGCCACATCGCCGCCATCTTGTTGAAGTGCAGGTTTTAGGCAAAGTGGACCATCGGAACAATAGCCGAATGGAAACTCGTAGAATCACGAGCAAGGGGTCGGATTTTTCAGAAAAATGGCATTAGAGAAATGTTTTGGTGGGGTTCTTTTTAGAGAGAGATGACTGCTAGAAAAAACAAAACACACACACACGCACAACAACAATTTCAAGTCCAGATTTCTCTTTTTACAAGAAACAGACAGGTCCAACTTCAAGGCCGAACTCTTGGTCTGGAGCACCAACATCCATAGGAGCGATATCAATGATGGGCAGGCGAGATGTTTTCGATGTCTTGTAGTCGATGATTGTCTTGCCCCATGTACCGGTGTGTGACTGGAGAGAGAGAAGAAAGGACAGTTAGGGTCAAATGGCAAAAAGGGCAAAATGGCTGCTGCATGGTTAACACCGGACATTTTCAAAATTTCTCCAATTTGCCTGAAATTTCGTTCAAAAGCACATGAACCACAAGACAGCAAATTTTGCCTTTAGTGAGAATGGGATGAGAATATGAACAAAAGTCTCCTCACCGTGCATCCATCCTCCAGGACGCTGTAGGTGAAGCGGCTGTTGCCCTCGGCTCTGATCTCGATCTCGTTGGAGCCCTGGAGGAGCAGGGCCTTCTTGAGGTTGCCGGCGGTGGCGTCCATGTAGGCGACGCTGTTCTTGCAGTGGTAGGTGAGGTTCTGGGATGCCTCGGTGGACATGAGACGCAGGAAAGTCAGCTGGATGTTGACGTCCTCTGGCTGAGAGCCCTCGCTGCCATACTCGAACTGTGTAAGAAAGACGAGGGGGAGAAGTTACTGACTGAACTGTGGATGGAGAGGAAGGAAAAGAAGGGGAGAGGTAAGACGGAATTGAAAAATAGTTGAGAAAACAAGAGAGGAATGAGAAAAATTGGAGATGAGAGAAGGGGTAGAGGAAGGAAAAACTGAGATGAAAGTTGACCCAAGAGAAGGCAGGTAAGGATGGATTTGTATGCTGAAACTGAAGGTAATGAATGGAGCTGTAAAGAGGAGAAATGCAGGAAG